GAGAAATGGAGGTGTCTTCACCTTGATTGTGGGTGCCGCTAACCTCCCTGTTATAAGTCTCTCCTTGTGCTTGGGACTGGGGGGGTGGTGTTTTTCCTCATGGCCTGGAAAACTGGGTCAGAGCTGGGGCGAGGAAGAGGCTGTGTCTGTTTTCACGAGCTGAGGAACCGTGTGTGTGTATGTGTGTGTGTGTGTGTGTGTGTGTGTGAGAGAGAGAGAGAGAGAGAGGATGGTTTTTATTTCTCTGAAGCTTCCAGATTGCTAGTGAGTCCTTTTGTTGCATGTTGAGGGTTTTGTTCCCTCTTTATCCTGTGACGGATGATGGTGACTCTATTCTATTTGTACCTGTCCCCGTGGATCCTGATGGTTTCTTGGTTGCTTGGTGAGAATAGGGGGCCATCTCGTGACTCTGGTACCATGGACAGTCCTAGGTGGTCCCTGAAGCCTGGTAGATGTTATGGAACACCTTGACCCCAGAGAGCTACCCACTGTGGGTTCTCCCTGATAGACCTGCACTGCACTGCACTGTCCTCCCGTTGTTCATCGATTTGTTTGAGTGGGCCCAGTAACGTCTCCATTGTGAGACTTGTTGTTACTGTGTTTGGCATATCAAATACATCATGGGTAGCTTGCTAGGCTTTACTGTGCAGGCAAAATACTCTTGGTAGCTTGCCAGTCTCTCCGAGAGGGGCGGAGGAATCGAACCTGGCTGTGCCAGGCCAGCTGCGTGCAAGGCAAATGCCCTCCCACTGTGCTATCACTCCAGCCCACTGATGGACCTGTGGAAGGAAATGTAAGGAAACCAGGGTCGACAGTGTTCTAGGCTGGGTTTCACCCCTTTGGCATGATTGTGACATTCTTCAAGGACCTTCCCGCACATTGTGCAGCCATGGCTAGTGAGCTGACTGGATTTCCCATGCAGCCCTTTGTTGGCAGCATTTGCTGCCCTCTGGTAGGCAGTGCAGTGGCTCCCAGGGGGCAGGGAAGGGACAGCTGGTTGCAGAGGCCTAGGGGCCTGGAAGGGGACTTTAGCTGCAGTTCCTGCCATGTCTGCACTCCAGGGCAGTCAGCAAACACTGGCCCAGTGGGAGCAGCCTCCCAACTCCTGACTGGATTCAAGTCACATGGGGCTTAGCTGATAGAGAGCCGGCTGGCCAATGGGACCAGGTATGATTTGGGAGAGGAATACATACCTCAGAAATGAGCTTGCCAAGCCTCACACTCTAGGGGTAAAGGCAGCTCAGATAGAGAAGAGAGCACCAAATAAAGGGTGTTGGGAAGATCCGCCCAGGATGGGAGATGCATGCTGAAAGTAGACTACAGACCAAACATGAATGCCACTCAATTCCTCTTTTGCAAACCGCAACACCCAAAAGGAGAGAGAGAACAAAAGGGAGTGCCCTGCCACAGAGGTGGGGTGGGATGGGGGCGATGGGGGGTGGGAGGGATACTGGGATCATTGGTGGTGGAGAATGGGCACTGGTGGAGGGATGGGCACTCGATCATTGTATAACTGAAACCCAAGCACAAATATGTGTAAGTCTATAACTGTACCTCATGTACAGTTTCACTAATAAAAATTAAAAAAAAAAAAAGAAATGAGCTGGCCTGAGACCTTAGTGGGCTGAGTGGAAGCTTTGCACGTGGGAGGCCCAGGTTCTAGCCCTGCCACAGTTGAGGGGCCCCCAACCATTGCCAGGAGTGACTCCCCAGCACAGAGCACTAAGAGCTCCCGAGCACCCAACTGGGTGTGGCCCTAAAGTCCAAACCCCAACTGAATCAGATTGGGTACTTGCCCCTATGGTTCCCCCCCTCAATTCAGTGGATGAAAAAGTGCTTGAAGAAGTACGTTGGTGGCCGTGTTGGGCTGGTGGGGGGACATTGGGGTTCAGTGCGTGCGAAGGGGAGGTGTCACCAGAGTTCACTGGTCATTGTCTCTTGTTTGAAGAGCACAGCAGAGTAGGGAGAGCCTCTGGACTGTCAGGAAGGAGCCTCCAATCTCTGTGGGCACAGGGGTGCAGGGGGGGCCAGGCAGAGCGGTTGGCATGCTTGGGGCCCCAGGGCTCTGCTGGTATTAGGGATCAGACATGCCGATAAGTGCAATTATCCGGGACTGGGGTCCCTTCTCTACCCTGTCCAGTACTCACTGCTCCCAGAAACTCTGCTCGCTTGTTTGTAGAAACCGTTCTGTCGTGTCAGGACCCCAGTGCCCAAAGGCCAGGCTTCCGACTGCGTTGTGAGGGCAGCGAATGTACCCGGAGTTGCTGTCAAGGGCCCGGCCATCCATGGCATCCACGGAGGGAACACAGTCTTGGCTTGCAGGGGATGAGCTGTGACAGGCCTCCCGGGAGATCAGCCCTACAGGTCCTTGCCTGCCTTGAAGGACTGGATAAAATACTGACAGGTCCTTGTGCCTGCTGAGTCCTTTTGGAGAGAAGTAGAGATAGACCAGGACAGTCTCTATTGCGCATTGTAGGAGGCTGTTGCTGCCACATCCTTTCGAAGCCCAGTGACTCACAGAGATCTCTTTCTGTGATCTTTCTCGGTGTGTGGCTCAGCCGGGTGGTTGGATTGATTGAGTGGAACTCAGTTGGCCTCAGTGGGGCTCGTGCCTGATCTCCCGCCCTGGGCCTGGGCGATCCAGCACATCCTCCACTAAGTGGGTCTCCTGTCTTCCCGGCACCGCCACAGCCGAGCCCCGAAATGAACAGCAGGGACCCGTCACCTCTCGGGGCCTCAACTCAATGCATGCACGTGCTGTCCCCGGCGGTGCACAGGGCTTCCTCCTGGCTCTGGGCTCAGGGATCTCTTCCGGTGGGGCTTGGGGAACCACATAGGGTGCTGGGGATGGAACCAGGGTTGGCTGTATACAGAGCTAGCACCCTGCCCACTGTGCCATCGCTTTGGTAGCAGTTCTGTTCCATGCTGGCTGGGTTTTCAGCTGCCAATCCCCAGCAGAGTTGCTGTACCCCATCCACTGCAAGCTGGATGCCACCTGCGCTCTCAGAAAGGAGAGGGAACTTGGCGTTCCTGTTGGGTGCCTGCTCTGCCCGACTCTTGCCCAGGTCCTCAGCAACGGCTCTACTTTCTACTTTGGCATGGTGCAACCCTCCAAGGTGGGACGCTTTAAAGTAGGAGAGTCGGGGTAGAGCGATAGCACTGTGGGCTTGCCTTGCATGCGGCCGACCTGGGTTCTATCCCCAGCATCCCATATGGTCCCCGGAGCACTGCCAGGAGTAACTCCTGTGCATCACCAGGTGTGACCCCCCCCACAAAAAAATATAGGAGAGTCACGCAGAGGGTCTGTCACTCAGGCTGCTTTATGGTTTGTAAGGTGATTCTGCCACTTTTTCCAGAGCGACCCTTCAGCGTGATGACCCTGCACTTTACTGGGGTCCCGGGTGAGACCTCCCCATGGGCCAGCGCAGACAGCCATGAGGAAGGTCGTTCACCAGCATTGTCACCAGCAGCCCCTGTCTTCAGCACATCTCTGGCTCACACTTCTTTGTCCTTGGTCTGGAACTGAGGTTCCCCGCTCTTTGCCCAAGTCCCTCTGCTTGGGTGCCTCGTAGGTGCCATGCGATGGGGTAGGTTGGTCCCACTGTCTGTTGGGCCTGTGGCTGGGCAGTGGGTACAGAGGTGCTATGACCTGGCCGGTGTCTGACTTGGCTGGGAGAGGAGCTGTTAGCTCAGGCCAGCCTGCTGCGCTTCCAGTGAAGAACAGTGGTAAGCCTGCACCCACCTCCTGTTCACCCAAGACCACAACCTGGGCATGAAAGAAACAGGATGAGGGGCTGGGTCGATATCCCAGTGGGTAGGGTGTTTGCCTTGCATGTAGCCGACCTGGGTTCAATTCCCAGCATCTCATGTGGTTCCCTGAGCACCGCCAGGAGTGATTTCTGAGTGCAGAGCCAGAAGGAACCCCTGAGCATCACCGGGTGGGACCCCCAAAAAAAGTCAAAATAAGGGGCTGGAGCAATAGCACAGCGGGAAGGGCGTTTGCCTTGCACGCGGCCGACCCAGGTTTGATCCCCGGCATCCCATATGGTCCCCCAAGCACTGCCAGGAGTGATTCCTGAGTGCAGAGCCAGGAGTAACCCCTGAGCATCGGCTGGGTGTGATCCAAAAAGCAAAAAAAATAGTCATTAAATAACAATTTTTTTTTTAAAGAAACAGGATGGTTCTGCTTACAGCCTGCAGTAAGTCAGCTGTGTCCTCTCCCAGGGCACAGACATCTTCTGGCAGAGGATGGAAGGGATTCTGGGGCGTCTTTTTTTGGGGAGGGGTCACACCTGGCGATGCACAGGGTTTACTCCTGGCTCAACACTCAGGAATTATCCTGGTGGTGCTCGGGGGACCATATGGGATGCTGGGAATCGAACCTGGGTCGGCTGCATGCAAGGCAAACGCCTGCCTGCTGTGATATTGCTCCAGCCCCCTGGGGTGTCTCTTTGATACAGGTTACCATCAGCCAGCTGCGTGCTGAGGGCCTGTGAAATAGAGGCACGCACACAAGAAAAGACTGACGGCGGTATGAGCAGTGGTTTCTGGGGACCTCCCCTCCCCCAACAGGACCCACTGTGGTACATAGAAATAATGGCTCTAGATGGCAGAGGCTCAAGCCTGGTCCCTGCTGTGCTGGGGTCCTGCCCACAAGGGTGAGCTAAGCCCGTGGAGCCTGCGATGTGTGGGACCTGCCTTCTGTCCCTGCCACTGCTCTGACAGCCACAGGTGTGACTCTGAGCCCCTCAGTAGCACTGGGTGTGGTCCCCAGAACAGTAATAAAATACAGGGGAGCCCACAGAGCGCCCTTGCCCCCGCCACCCTGAGGCCCCAGAAAAGACTGTGGACACAGTCTGTGGGCAGGGGAATCCACAGCCGGATGGTTCGGGGCACGTGGATTGTGGACTGTGACCCAAACTGAGCGAGCTGCATGGAGGGGTGGCCACGCGTGCTCACGGGGGTGCCTGCTATTGACCGGCCGTGTGTTTCTCTCCCAGGGCTCTCTAGCATGGTCAGTGAGGGCGCCATGAGTGGCTCGGGGAACCTGATGGATTTTCTCGATGAGCCCTTCCCTGATGTGGGGACGTACGAGGACTTCCACACCATCGACTGGCTGCGGGAGAAGTCACGGGACACTGACAGACACCGGAAGGTAGGTGGCGGCCACAAAATAGCACTCTGTGGGAGGGACGGAGATCTTGACCTGTTTACGGGATGCACAGATAATTATGGTATCACAGATAATTATGACCTCGGGGGTAGGGGGAAGGGCTGTGTCTCAGGGAGGGGACCCTGGATCCAGACAGATGGCATCACCTCTCACCCTTGTCTCCTTCAGGCTGGAGGGACTGTTGGGGTGCATTTGCGGACCCCGTGTACTCATCTGGGAGGTCCATGACCTGTCAATGAGGTGACAGGGTGTGTTGCAGACCCGTGAGGTGCTCACTGGTTGGTGCGCAGGAAGGCCCAGTGGCAGGTGAAGGGACTCGGTCAGGAGGGACACTTCTGGGAGGGGGTTTCAGAAGAGGCCGACCTTTCAAAGAAGACAGGGGTGCCTTCCACGCACCCATTCTGCCGGCATGCACCCCCCCTCCCTCATGCAGCTAGCTAATTCCAACTTCCTCCCTTTGTTGCGAGCTGGCCTTTCACCGCTGCTGGTCTGTAGAAATTTCCTGCTGGCCCGCGAGGAAATAACTGACCCATCTGGTCTCCCTTCAGAGCAGCTCTTAACATCAAGAGAGAACAAATCACTCCTTGGAAGTGTCAGATGGATGTGTTGACCCTGGCGCCTGCCACCAGTGGCTCACACTTGAATGTGGCTGCTTTAACACAAACTGCAGCGCCGGTGTCAGCGTGTTAAGTGGATTGGAGGTGGGGTGGATCCCGATTGATTGGAGATGCCACTGGCATCTTTGAGCCGGAAAACCCCACTTGTGCGTTGTGGTAGCAAGCTGTGAGAGTAATGGAAGTGGGAATTCGGTGCCATTCATTTTCTCAGTAACTCTGTTTCCCGAGGAACGGGAACTGGGAGACATCCGGATCGACTGCTGTCTCTGCTTGCTTTCTAGATAACGAGTAAGAGCAAGGAGTCCATATGGGAGTTCATCAAGAGCCTGCTGGACGCCTGGTCGGGATGGGCGGTGATGCTGCTCATCGGCCTGCTGGCAGGTATGTGCCCGACATGGAGTGTTCATCGTTCATTCCCAGGCATAGGATTATTTTCATGTTGCTTGCTCATTGAAAATACATGTGTCCTGTCACAACTACGCTGGGCCACACATGGGCCCCCTGCGGCCGCCCTGGAGGCTGTGATTATAAGGGTGTTTGATCCTTTCTGCACAGTCCACACTGCAGGGCATTGCAAACATGTGTCCTTTCTTTTCTTAAAAAATATGTAATGTTATTTATTTATTTGCTTTTTGGATCACACCCGGTGATGCACAGGGGTTACTCCTGGCTCTGTGCTCAGGAATTACTCCTGGCAGTGCTCGGGGGACCCTATGGGATGCTGGGAATCGAACCCGGGTCGGTTGCGTACAAGGCAAACGCCCTACCCGCTGTGCTATCGCTCCAGCCCCAATATGTAATCTTTAAATAACTAAGATGCTGTGATTTACAGTACTATTGCTGATGGTCTCCTGTGCCAACACCACACCATCACCAATGTACCACTTTCCTCCCCCCAAAACCCACACCCCTCCCTTTCAACCCCCACCCCCAACTCAGTTGTGTGGCTCAGTTCTCCCGCTGTGTTGCCTTTGACCCTTAGTTGCTCCCTGGCTATGTAGCCTTTTTTTTTTTTTTTGGCTTTTTGGGTCATACCTGGCGATGCACAGGGATTACTCTTGGCTCTGCACTGAGGAATTACCCCGGCGTTGCTCAGGGGACCATATGGGATGCTGGGAATTGAACTCGGGTTGGCTGCGTGCAAGGCAAATGCCCTACCCGCTGCACTATTGCTCCAGCCCCCTGGCTGTGTAGCTTTAAGTCCCACTGATGAGAGATCATTCTGGGTCTGTCCCTTTCCTCCCGACTGACTCCACTCAGCAGGATCTCATCTCGTTCCGTTTAGATTGCTGCAAGTTGCGTGATTTTCTTAGAGCTGCGTGGTACCCTGTTGTGTGCATAGATCACGACTTCTTGACTCTTTCATCTGTAGTTGGGCATATGAGTTGTCTCCATGCCTTGGCTCTTATCCTAAGTGCTGTGATGAATAGATTGTGTTTCTAGCCTTTTGCAGTGAATGTTTTTAACAAACACATTCCTTTGCTCTACAGACTTGGTTATGTAGAAAGCAAGAAAATATAGGAAGATTTGATGTCGAATACTAAAAGGCATATGGAATTGCCTTGGCTCCTACTGGCAGGGTGTGGGATGAGTCTGTAACACTCTCAGGCACTCCACGCAGTGCGAGACATCCCCAGTACCTGAAGTCAGTCCGGGGAGATCCCTCCAGCCCTTGCAGTGTTCTAATCTGTGAGGGCTCTGTGACCTTTACTTTTCTAACTCCAACACCATGCAGTAAATGTGGTGGTGAGCAGTAGATATTTCCAGAGTAAATGAATGTGTGTGTGGAGAAGGAAACTGTTCTTTCATTATTCTGTTTTTATTTTTTAGTTTTGAGGCCATATTCAGTGGTGCTCAGGGCTCATTCCTGGCAGTGCTCAAAGGACCATATCGGATGCCAGGAATCAAACCGGGTAGGGCACAGGCAGGGGAAGTGTCTTACTCACTGCACTGTCTCTCTGGCCCCCGATTTTTTTTTTATTTTCATAAGAAGATCCTAGCTCTCCAAGGAAATTGCTTCCTGAATCCTACCACCTTTCAGGAGGCTGTGGAGATTAACATCTAAGAGATGCACAGAAGAAAAAAATCTCCTACCATGAAAGAAATAGTCAGTGAGGGAAACGGTGCAGTAGGAAGCAGGTGGTGTCCCTGGCTCGGGGGTGGGCAGGAATTTGCTATCGGTTTTGTTGTCTTTCTTCAGGAGGGATTTGTGAGGCGCTTCGCTCCTAGGAAGGAGAAATAAGGAGGCGTGACGAACCCTAGGCTAGACGCTTCGCACTGTGCTGGCCTCAACTGCAGCACCACATGCCTACTTGGCTGTTCTGTCACCGAGTTGCTATTCGCTCTGGCTTTACTCCCACTTCTTTCCATCACTCCTTTCAGGAAGAATGTTCTAGGCATTTGAAAGGCAGTGTACTGCTGCTGACTGCCAGTGGAATACACCAGTGGAGATGAATCCTCCTCCCCCCACTTCCCCTTGGCCACTAGGAGAAGGGTCTACTCGAATAAATACAGTGGCACGCCCCTGACAAAGTTGGTCTTGTGACCACCTGGATTGTAGTGGCCTAAGCCTACAATGTTCCACTGTAGCCTGCAGGATGCCTGTCTGCACCCAAAAGGCAGGGAGTGTTGTTTGGGTCTGGAAGCACCTGAGAGGAAAGCTGGCAGGCTGCCCCAGGGGCTGATGGTGGTCAGGACCCAGTGGCACCACTGCCCGGCCTGCCATGGGCCAGGGTCCCCAGGCTGCTGTCTCCTGGCCTCTGCAGGGCCTTTATCAGGAGTGACCACTGGGTGGCACTGTTGCTCCACGGAAGGCGCTGAGACCCAGCCCGGCACTGCCGGCCAGGAAGACGCGATGTCAGGCAATGTGCTTGGAAATGAAAGGCTGGCGGAGGGTTGGCATTTGGGGGTGCTTGTTGGGCCTTGTCCCCAAATTTCTGCAGGCCCTGTTCCTTTCTTCTATAATGTCTCTGGATGGCGGTGCAATGGCTCCCGGGGGACAGGGAAGGGACAGCTGGCTGCAGAGGCCTAGGGAGGCTGGAAGGGGACTTAGCTGCAGTTCCTGCCATGTCTACACTCCAGGGCAGTCTGCAGACACCGGCCTGGGCGGGGTGGGGGGGACCAGCCTCCTGACTGCTGACTGGATTCAAGTCACGTGGGGCTGATAGAGAGCATTTTCCTCTTGAGTTGCCCCTGACAAACTTTCCCAGGCTCCATCTCCCCCTCGGCCCAGCATCTGTGGTAAACAGATTCACTGAGGCAGTTGACTAAGCCCCCAGCCGAAGCACACAGCTAAGTGGCTCTCTGCTGTGCGGCCGGCCTCTGCTCCAAACATCTTCCTCAGGCTCCAGAGAAGTCTGTGTTGCTCTCCAGCCAGAGACCCCCACACCCCCCACCCCCTCACCACCCGCAGCCCAGAATCTATTTCCTGTACTGCTACGTTAGCCTCATCCGCTGTTCTCTAGAAATGGAGTCCGTGATGTGTCTTTTTTCATTTTTTGGGGGGGCGGTGGGTCACACCCGGTGATGCACAGGAGTTACTCCTGGTTGATGCACTCAGGAATTACTACTGGCGGTGCTCGGGGGACCATATGGGATGCTGGGAATCGAACCTAGGTCGGCTGCGTGCAAGGCAAACGCCCTTCCCGCTGTGCTACTGCTCCAACTCCCGGTGATGTGTCTTTGCTTCTTTGGACAGAGTGGATTTGCTTCTGCGGGTGCTTGGTGGCGGCTGTTTGTGTTGTTTCCACAAGGGGGCGACAGTGAGCGATGGTTCTAGAAATGCACACATCCACGGCCCTTTATTCTCTTGGACAGAGGCTCTTGGAAGAATGAACTTCCTCTGGACTCTCTCCGGTGTCTTTCTCCCCTTGCTCTCTGCCACGGCGTGGAGTCCCGCGTGGGACCCTGCAGCCCATGAGTGGTTGGCCCATCTTGAGTGCTGTGGTTTTCCTTTAATCCTTCGTTGCAGTCAGTGATTCCCCATCAGTATAGAGTCCTGTACAAGGCCGGGCACTCATGGCCCACTCTTCCTGGACAGCAGGGAACCAGGGACTAGCAGTATGGGTCGGCCCCCACCGTGACACAAACCCCGTGGACAGCCGGACATGGAAGGGAGAGTGAGGAGAAATCAGTGGGGACTTCCTTGAAGAAGCGATGCCTGAGCTAGAAGCCGGATATGGGGAAGGGGCTGCCCCAAATGGTGCAGTAGAGACCTGGGGAGTTGCGTGCTTTAACGGTATGGATGGTGGGCAGTGGTGCCAAGGGGGTACCCCGTGGTGCTGTAGGTGAGCAGCTGATGCTGGAATCAGGATCCCTCAATTGGAAAAGCCTGAAAACATATATTTCCTGGTTTCCTCAAAGGCTGGAATAGATGATTCTGGAAAGGCTGCAGCTTCCTGGTGGGTGATGGCTCTTTTTTTCCCCTTTCATTCTTTTTTTATTTTTTTAAAATTTTTGTTAGTGAAACACCACGAGGTACAGTTGTAGACTTAAAAATTTTTGTGCTTGGGTTTTAGTTGTACAATGATCCAGTACCCATCCCTCCACCAGTGCCCATTCTCCATCATTTACATTTTTAAAAAAAATTTTGTTAGTGAAACACCATGAGGTACAGTTGAAGATTTACAAGCGGGTGATGGCTCTTGCGCGCTTCCTGTCTGCTACTTCCAGGCACCCTGGCTGGGGTCATCGATCTGGCCGTGGACTGGATGACCGACCTGAAGGAGGGCGTGTGCCTCTCGGCCTTCTGGTACAGCCACGAGCAGTGCTGCTGGACCTCCAACGAGACCACTTTTGAGGACAGAGACAAGTGTCCGCTGTGGCAGAAATGGTCAGAGCTCCTGGTGAATCAGTCGGAGGTAGGTATTTGGGGCCTCGGCTCGGGACAGTGTTGGAGCTATCACTGTCCTGAAGATGGTCTCTTCACTCTGGGCTTCCCCACAACCTTAGGAAACCCTTCCTGACCGGTTCCCACACACGACCAGGCCCTGTCTCGCCTCATGATCCATGCAGGTCTACTTGTCCGTCAGCAGGGGGCGGGTGTCTACACTCCGGAGCATTCACATGGCACTAATGGCACTGATGAGCCCTCCCTACAAGCATTTTTCTGTTTCTGTGTTGAGGCCCGACTGTGTTTTAGTCCTTATGTTTGACTTTCTGTCCTGATAGTGGGAGGGAGTCACACTGCAGATGCTGGGGACTACTCTTGGGATGGTGCTCTAGGCTCACTCCTGGAAGTACTGGGGGACTGTGTAGTGCTGTGACTCGAACCTAGGGCCTGCTCATGAGAAGGTATGCATGCCAGCCCATTGAGCTCTCTTGTCTTTGGCCTTGGAATGAGTGCTCATGCTGCAGAAATAGGATTTTTGGGGGGCTGGAGAGTGAGAGTACAGCAGATAAGGCACTTGCCTTGCACATGGCTGGCCCAGGTTCAATCCCTGGTACCGTATAGGGTCCCTCGAGCCCTGCCAGCCGTGATCCCTGAATGCAGAGCCAGGAGTAAGTCCTGAGCACTGTGTGGCCCTCAAGTAAAAGCAAGCAAAAAGAAATTGTGTTTTTATGCCTTCAAGTTTCCTGTGACTTTTTTTTCAATAACTGATTTATTAAGAAAAATTTAATATTCTCTATTCACAGTTGTTCCCCCAGCTCCACAATTTCATTTTAGAACATTTATTTACTCTCAAAGAAACCATATACCCATTATCTGCCATTCCCCACATCCATCACTCCCCAAAAGCCACCAACCTGCTATCTGCTTCTGTCACCCCTCCATCCCCAATTCCAGACATTCACGTACACTGCACTCGGGCTTGTGTGTCTGGATTCTTTCTTCAGCGCCAGGATTTCTAGGTTTCTGCACGTTGCTACATAAATTGGTTCTTGGTTCATTTCATTGGCTCCATCCTCTTCCATGGTCTGAATCTGCCCTGTGTCTTAGACAGCATCAGCAGATGAGCCTCGGTTGTTTTCAGCTTCTGTATTGTCATGGATGATTGTGCTTTGCGTATTTGTGTACACATTTCTGTGTGAGTGTGGGTTTTGGTTTCTCTTCACTACATACCTAAGAGTGGGATGGTTGCGTTACATGGCCGTTATATGTCTTGAATTTTTGAGAAATTGGCAGACTTCCAAAATGGCTACACCATTTGACCGCCAACCCCCTTTCCCCTGCATATCTTGTATGGGGATTCTTATTTATATACAACTTGACCAAACTGTTTTGGATCATTACCCAGATTGTTTTTTTTCCCTGTCTTCGATGATGCCGTCCTTGGAGGTGTGAGGTGTGAGCTGTGTCATTGTTCTTGCCATCTTCCCATGCCTTTTATGAGTGCATTAGAGTTGGGGTTTGTGGGTCCTCTGAATGGGCAGTGTCCCAGGATCAGGGGGTACAGAGGTGAATTCCAGACTGGGTGCTTGCCTTCATAGCACTTCGAGTTGCAGATGTGTTTCCAAGTCATGTCTTAGGAAATGGTTCAGTTCTAACCCAGTTTACTGGTGACTGTAGGTCACTGAGCAATCAGAAGCCCGTGGGAGCTGGAGCTTGGTTGCCAAGATTCTTATTAGGGGGTAATGTGAGGACCGTTTGAGCTGGAATATTCCTGGAAGATAGATATAATCATCTATTTATACATCTCTTCTCTCGCCCACCCTCTTTTGCTCGATTGACTTACCACAGCTGAAGACATTTGGAATGCACTTTGCCATTTTGCTAAACCCCTCTCCCAATGGAGTTGAAAATTAATTCCTTCAAATCTCAGAAGTAGACATGGATCTTGAAATCTCACACGTTCTCAGTGTTCTCCATTACTTTTAAAAATAAATTCTCTCCTTGGGTTGATGGGGCCGGGCAGGCAGACTTGGCCGGGTGCCATATTTTATTTCTTTTTTTCTGCTTGCAAAACCTTTTTTTTTTTGAAGGGGGGAAAAGTATGGCCGTTACTCCTTCCAGCCACTTTTTTTTAAAGATTTATACATTGATTCAAAGAATTACTGTGCGCAAGGGTCAGAAGTTATTTTCAGTCTTCAGACAGAACCTTCACTAAGTGAGTGAAGTGTCCCCAGCTGCCGGATTTCTCACTGTCTGGTGTGACTCCATGGGACTGGGTAGAGAAGGACTGTCTTCAGGACAGAGTGTTTGCTCATAACAGACACACATGTGGTCGTGTCTCGGGTCCGACTAGTAGGTGACATGAAGCAGACCAAGTGTGCAGCCTCCATGATATGGATAGTGCCCTTGGTTCAGAAAGTGAAAGTCAGGGAGGAGGAAGAGATGATGGGGTTTCCCCCCCCTGCTGCTTCCCCCAGGGTACCCAGGGAGCTTGCTCATACTCATTTGCTGGCCTGCCCTCCGGGAGTTCTTGGTCCCAACTCTGGGTGGACCTGGGAGTCTGCATTCGTACCCAGTGCCCTGGAAGGGCCGAGGCTATGGGTGCAGGGCTCACATGCCCAGGTGATGGTACAAGGTGTTCCTGGGCCTCCAAGGCCATTACTCAGCCAACGGGGTGGGTGGTTTCAGTGCCACGGCCTGAGGCCACGCTGCTCCAGCCCTGCAGTGCGGGCCGCCTCCAGGATTGCAGCCACCAGGGCTTGGTGGGGTCACCTTTGGGGGAATTTGTTTTGGAGCCACACTCCACAAGACTCTGGGGCTACTCCTAGCGATGCACTCAGGGATTGCTTGGGGAACCATATGGGATGCCGGGGATCGAAACCCGGGTTGACTGCATGCAAGGCAAGCATCCTACCCTCTGTGCTACTGCTCTGCCCCCAACAGTGGGCTTAGTTTTGAGGAGCTGAATTACAGACTTGGGCTCCCACTTGTTGGAGGCACAGTGGCTTGCGGTGCCCTGCCACTGGCCTTTATGGAAGTTGGGGGAGGCCGGCACACACCGGGGAGATGAGGCCAAGCTCCCCATCTCGTCTCCCCAGCCCACAGTGCAGCCTTGTCTCCCGCGCCTGGAGAATCATCTGAGCTGCAGGGCGTGTGCCACTGTGGCACAGGTGATAGCGAGTACCCCAGAGGGCCACTCGGTGCTTGTCGACATGGGGAGGGAGAGAAGCTTCTGGAACGGATAGGGCTCAGCTGTCACATGTCTTTGTGTTCTGCCTCTTCTTCAGGGTGCCAGCGCGTACATCCTCAACTACCTGATGTATACGCTGTGGGCTTTGCTTTTCGCGTTTCTGGCCGTGTCCCTGGTGCGAGTGTTTGCGCCCTATGCCTGTGGCTCCGGAATCCCAGAGGTGAGTGTGGTCCTGTGGTCCAGGCTCCAGTTACAAGACAAGCAAAGATTTCTGTGGCACTTGTGTTCCAGGGTCCATGAGGCTCCCGAGAGGGACTCAGCAGGGGGTGGGGTGGGGGACGAAATTCAGGTACTGGTATCAGTTGCCCAGGGTGGCCCAGCTGCCCAGCTGGGAGTGGACCCCGCCATCTGCCTTCAGGCCTTCAGCCCTGTGGCTGTTGCCCACCATTCCACCTTTGTCTTTGGTGGTGTGGGAGCTCCTTAACCACACATGCCGCGCGCCATGACTCTGGCCCAGAAAGCTGCCCTGAGTTAGCGGAAAGAAGGGTGGAAGAGTAGCTCTGTGCACTCTCTGTGGGCTTCAGGGTCTCAGAAACGTTCTGTTTACCTGCATGTACCCAGAGGAACAGGGCAGTAGCCTCAACAGTTGAGGGGAAGGTTCTAGAACAGGCTGACACCTAGGTGGGGTCTCCAGGGAGAGAGCCGAGAATCGCGCGGATCCCCCGCCCCTCCGAGTACAGCACTGACCAGGGTGGCAGAAGGCGAGATAACGGTCTCCCTTCCTTCCCTGACCAGTGTGCTTCGTGGCCGCCTCAGTGGTGCTGTGGGAAGGGGAGGAGCACTTGCAAGACATGACCAGCTCTGGCAGGGGCCCATGGTAGTCTCTACCCCTCATACTCTGGGGGGCCTCCTCATGCCGATGGCTGTTCTGGCAATTCCTAGATGGGGCTGGAGGAATTTTAAGTATCATCAAAAGAAAAGCTCAAGAGGAGACAAACATGAATTTTCTCGTGGAGGAACACCCACCAGGTCCTGGGGGCTCCCTGCATAGCACCTGCTTACATGCTTCCTGAGATGGGGAACTCACCACTGTGCAGGATGCCAAGCTGGCAGGAGATGATGGAGCAGTTTCTGCTTCTCCATGTGGGCACAGAGAAGATGCCCATCCACAGTCCGCTTGTCAGGAAACAAGGCCAGAAAGCAAGACAGGACACATTCAGCCCCATGATTCGCCGAACTGGCAATGACTCATGCTCGGAACTCGTCTCTTCAGTCTTGCCAGTATCTCTCCAGGTCAGCACGAGCACACCACCCCCCAAATCCCAGCCTGTGCGAAGTGGCACATGGGAGCCCACAAAGGTCCATTGCTCAGAGATGTCATATGGGACAGCCAAAGAAATGTCATCAAAACCATGCCACCCATTGACTGCACGTTGCCTGCTTTGGAAACAGGAGCCCTACTGAGGTGCCTGCAATGTCACAGAGAGGAACTGGCACTCAGCTCCCAGCAGTATGTACCTTGGAGCCTCTCAGGCAGATGCAGACAGCCAGTGGGGTGTTGGGACACAGTGGCGCCATATGCCAGGGGCAGCGTATCTGCCCCGCACAGGTGCTAAGCTCAAGTTCGAGGCCAGGAGGGCACATCTCAGCAGCCCAGAAGGGACTGACCGTGCTCAGTCTCTCTCCAGAGCAAGAGGCTGAAATTTAAGAAGCACAGACTCTCTTATGTGAACCCAGGGCCAGGAGCTCACTGCTGCGGCCAGTGTGGAAAGGAAGCTGATCAGGAATCGGTGAAGTCTCCACAAAGCAGTGCTGGGAAACAGCAACTCCCAAAGCGATGCACTCATGCCGGAAGCCACAGGAAAGGCAGGGAAATGAACAGGGGGAGCAGGACGAAGGTTCCACGAGGAAGCCACCACCCCACTTTCAGAGGAACCCGGGCTTGTCTTTCTCCCAGTTAGCAGCAGGTCCCTGGACGGTTTGATTAATGTTCTTGGCAGCGTGTGTCAGCATGTGGCAGTTTATCCCCCTGTGAAACAGGCGACAATCAGTCATCTCCCAGCATATCAGGAGCCCCAAGGAGAGTTTGCAACCAAACGTTGATGGCGATGACTCAGTGGTAGCAAAACTTTCACTGTTACTAGATCAGAGCCCCCAATTCCCACCCTAAGATTCTATTCCCTACCCCAACTCTTAGGGGATAGGGCGGAGTAATACGTACTCTGAACAGACAGCTCTCCACTAAGTCAGAGCCCAGAGGGCCTTCCTGTTAGCTCGGAACACCAGCCAAGCTCTGTAGGAAACGTGCCCACCCTTAGAGGTCATCACAAGCTACCGTGTGGCTGGTACTATACTAAGAAACCTTGAAGGCACAGCACTTCTGCTGCTCAGTTTCCCGAGCTTCTAGAACATTCAGCGTACTTACAATGGCAGTAAGCAATACGTTATTACCTTCTTTCTACTTACTTACAATGGCCTTCAGAGACAGTTTTTTTTTTCTTTTTGGGTCACACCTGGCGATGCACAGGGGCTACTCCTGGCTCTGCACTCAGGAATTACCCCTGGCGGTGCTCAGGTGACCATATGGGATGCTGGGAATAGAACCCGGGTCGGCCGCATGCAAAGCAAACGCCCTACCTGCTGTGCTATCGCTTCAGCCCCCAGAGACAGTTTTAAAAATGCAAAGTTAGGACCGGAGTGATAGTACAGCGGCTGCTCTCCCATCCCCCCCCCCCCCCCCCCCCCGAAAAAGCAAAGTTAGGGAAAAGATCTTTCCATGTAATCACCGTGCTTGTAGAAGTGCTCTAAAGCACCTTGAAAGCTGGAGCGCCAGAGCTCTTAGACTGGGCCTTTCGAGAGAACTGGCCACCGAAGGCATGACCCCTCTGCCATGGCCTCGCTCAGAGCCACTAGCAGTATGTGAGAAATCCCGTCCTCTGCCAACTTACTTTGAGTTGATGTTTCAGTTCACTCCCAAACAAGGACACTCCTACGAATCATGATTTACCAGAAGGGCTCTTAAGCGAACCCCTCAAAGCCCCAACTCTGCTGCCGTTAAAGCTTGTTTCAGTCTCTAATAATTCAAATTAGAGCAAGTGATTGGATTGAGGCAGCTACTGGGGATGAGTGCGCTTGCTTGTCTTCCTAATTCCATCATGACAATTGTATAAAAGCATTGCAGAGAATTACGGGAAACCTAGTACAGTGTTCACTTCAGCCGCATGTCATGATTGGCAAAGGCTCAGGTAATTTAGATGCTTGTAATTTTCTCAATGCGATTATGCTTTTAAACTGGACCCTAGGGTCCCAATTCACATTAACTAACTGACAAAAAATTATAGATAATTTTATTCGAAGCAACACAAAAGGGCAGAATTGTGGCAGGCATAATAAAGCATCCCTTAAATAAAGGGCTCTGTGCTCCCCAGAGCTCAGGCTGAAATAGGCCACCGCTAGTTGGAGACGTGTCTCACCACCGATAGTTTGTCTTGCATTAGTTAAAGACTCCTTCCAGGAATTCCTTGCGTGTTCTCAAAGAGGTGATTGAGTTCTCCGGAAGTGCCTCACCCTCGATTGCTTTGTCTGTTTCTCCTTGAATTAAGGACACAGATTTCTGAGACGCAAACAATTCACTCATAGCTGGTACCAAAAAATAGGGAAAAACATTGAAGATGAATGTGCTGCAAAGTCCTTCCCAAACCACTAAAAGAGACAGCAGTGGCCAGAAGTGTTTCAGGGCCAGCCCTTAAATATTGAACAACTCCTTGTTCCCAATGTCTGCTCCACTCAGGAGCAAAATCGGGGCTTTCCGCCTGAGTGACACTTCAGACCCGCCTGGACAAGCTACACAGGGCCACCTGCCCAGGACCGTCAGAGCAGTGCCACTGATGTCTGAGTTCCCACGTGACTCCAAGATTCAGGATGACTGACACAGCCATTTGAGACTTTGGTTTATGTGGCAGAGTGGTGCCCACCAAGAAGCATGTTGAAGACTTAGAAATGTCTCAACACTGACCAGAGCTAGCGTTGTTCATTACATATTGTCGTACAGGAGATGCGTTTCATTGGCTGAGTCTGTGTCCAAGGAATCTTAGGGTCACAGGTTATGAGTTGCCAACTCAGTAGTATATATTCATTCACATCTTTTGGCCAGTGGTGGGAGAAATTGAATGTAAAGAGGTCGTTTAGCTATCCGGGATGCTTCTAGATTCAAAAGAATACTGAGTATATGTGTGTGCGTGTGTGTGGGGGGGGTGTGGTGGGGGTGGGAGAATCTTACCCCTTTTGGTTACCTGGAGGCATATTATTAGAATGTTGAATGAATTTTTCCAGCAGTGTAGTAGGCATTTTTCAAACATAGAGCAAAGTGGAAATAATTGGACAGTAAACATCTGTATACCCATTGCCCACAGCAGTCTACAGCAAACTTTTCCTGACAAGAACAGAGTCATTATTTTTGCTTGTTTTTGTTCAGGGGTCATACCTGGTGATGACTAGGGGTTACCCCTAGCTCTGCACTCAGGAATTACCCCTGGCAGTGCTTGGGGGACCTTATGGGATGCTGCAGATGGAACCTAGCTCAGCTGCATGTAAGACAAGCACCCTCCCTGCTATACTGTCTATCTCTCCAATCCCCCTGGGTCAGTTTTTTAATTTTTATTTATTTTTTCAAGTTAAAACTTTAAACAAAAGTTTGGGGGCCAAACCCAGTGATACTGAAGGGCTGTTCCTGACTCTGCTCAGGCGTCTCTCCTGGCAGTGATGGGGTTCGAACCCAGGTCAGCTGAATGGAAGGCAAACGCTTTCCTGACCTATACTCTTTCTCCAGCCCAGAGAGACTCAGTATTTTAGGCTTGTAAGCCAAGAAGCAAAATTGAACCTTTTCACTGGTATGCAAAAGGCTTCAGTTGCATTTGTTCCACTGGTAGGTGAGTAGGCTTGTTTTCATACTTTATGTTAAAATGTGGAAAGCACACTTGAGCCCACAGGTTCCAGGAAATGGGCAACGGACTGGCCTTGGTCCATGGGCCGTTATTTGCCGACCTGCCCCTAAAGTGCAGCTTCCTTGGTTTTGTTCTATTACAGCAGTAGGCAGCTCCCATCCCTGTATTTTGGATGTCCTTTCATTGTCAAAAAGAAATGGCTAAAACCCAGCGGTGTGTATCGCTCTTTGATGTATCAGAGACGATGTGAGCAGGATAAAAAGTAATCTTGCTGGGGCCAGAGTCATAGTACAGTGGGTAAGGCGCTTGCCCTGCATGCAACTGACCCGAGTTCAATCCCCGACATGCCATATGGTCTCCTGAGCCCTGCCAAGAGTGATCCGTGAGTGTAGAGCCAGGAGGAACCCTTGAGCATCTCTGGGTGTGGTCCCCAAAACAAAACCAAAAAAAGTGTCTTTGCTATTTGCTTATTCTGTTCGTATTGTTGTGTCTGGAGACTGACTGGAAAGTCTTTTCACGTGTCCATTAGTTTCAAATCGCATGTTAGCGCCATATTCCATTAATATAAAATTGAAGCTAAGGTCAAAGACGGATGTGACCTCTCGCATGTGATGAGGAGGCCACACTGCAGCGAGGCTGTGCACTGATGTCACTCACCCCCTGTTCCTGTCCTGCTCCAGATAAAGACCATCTTGAGTGGGTTTATCATCAGGGGCTACTTGGGGAAGTGGACCCTGCTCATCAAGACCGTCACCCTCGTTCTCGTGGTGTCCTCGGGCCTGAGCCTCGGGAAAGAAGGGCCGCTGGTGCATGTGGCATGCTGCTGTGGCAACTTCTTCAGCAGCCTTTTCTCCAAGTACAGCAAGAATGAAGGCAAGAGGCGCGAGGTGAGTGGGAAAGGCCTGCCGTGGTGAGTTAGGCTGGTGGCATGGGGAATGCATCGATCCCAGAGTAGGACTCACAGTGCGGACTTGTGAGTCTGTGGGCAGGGAGCCAGGGTTTGAAAGGGCTCAGCATGGAAGTGCTCTAAGCTTGGCTCCTTGGTTCAGAACCTTTTGGATGACTTCTTTATTTTGAAATTTCTTCGCGAGTCAGTGCTTGCGGTGCTCAGTGCTGAGGATGGAACCCAGGGCCTGGCACAGTCGTAGCATATGTTCTGCTGCTTGCACCACATCCCCAGTCATTTGTGTGTGGGAGGGAAGGTTGGGCTATACCCCGTGGTGCTGGGGCTGCTCCTGGTTCTGCGCTTGGTGGACTGTGTGGTGCTGGGAGTCGAACAGGAGTGCCCTGCATGCAAGCAAGGAGATGAGTTCTTAAGTCCACTTGCCTGCAGTTGGCTGACAGCACCAGAGAGCTACGAAGCGGGGCTCTTGGATGGCCTCAGATAAAGAGAAACCGGAAGTGGGTGAGGTTCCCCAGGAACTCAGCCCAAGTTTGCATTGTGGCAGGTAAACACTGAGAGAGGCTCACACTAGTCTTTCCTGCAGGTGCTCTCAGCTGCTGCTGCTGCGGGAGTCTCTGTGGCCTTCGGTGCTCCCATTGGTGGGGTGCTCTTCAGTCTAGAAGAGGTAAGAAGGAACGGCAAAGGGATGAACGGGTCTTGGTCAGGGGAGGCCCTGGGGACCCTTCCCGGCATTTCTTGGCCATCTGGGCTAACAGTTGAATGCATGGCCCCAAGGATGTGGTGTGCTAGTGACCACCATCAGTGCTGGTCATGGGGATTAGTGATTTTCAGGGCTGAGGACTATGTGGATGTTTAGCAGAAATCCACCCTTTGCGGATTAGACCTGAAGATTCTCGTAGTTCATTCAGGAACCACCCTTGCTAGTAAAGATCTGCTTTCAATTATTGACTTAAAAACTGCCAGGATCGTTTTGGTGGGCAGGGGAATATACTTTCTTTCTTATAACCAGCTTCATTAAGAGTTTCTATTTTGAGCAACCCAAATGGATGTATTCTAGGGGACAGCAAGCAGTTATGGGCCTGGCTGTGTCCCAAGAGTACTTCCTCTGGACATTGAAGTTTGAACTTTACAAAATTTCACGTGTCTGTCCCCATATCTTGCGCTTCTGGATAGCTCACACATTACAGAATACTCTCTTGGTTCATGGCCAACCATGTAAGAATATGCAAGCCCATATCAACTATTTTTTTAGGGGGGGGAGTGTTTGGGCCACACCTGGTGATGCTCAGGGATTACTCCTGGCTCTGCACTCAGAAATTACTCCGGAAATGCTCAGGGGACCATATGGGATGCTGGCGATTGAACCCAGGTTGGCTGTATGCAAGGCAAATGCTCTGCCTGCTGTGGTATCTCCCTGGCCCCCCAAATCAACTCTTGTGCCAAACAAATCCCATTCCTGGGATTCTGTTTTCTAAGCCTTAACCCTCTGTGTTATCTCCAGGATCAAATCCAGAGGCGGATTTGCTTTTAGGAGGATCTCCATGTCCTAGACAAAATCATGACTAAACACTTCATTTCTCTTTAAAAAGCAGCACCCCCCCCCCCCCCCCCCCGGGTAGAATCCATCCCTGTGATAGAGCTACTCCTGAGAAACTTCTCAGTTGCTTGACTTTTGTGCCTCCTTCCAGCTAAGTGGCAGAGCTTGGAACCCAGTCTCTGGTCCTGAGTTCTGGGCAGTGCCACCAGTAGGGCTGGACTCTGGACAGACCGGGGGCTGGAGCGATAGCACAGCGGGTAGGGCGTCTGCCTTGCACGCAGCCAACATGGCCAACCCGAGTTCGATTCCTCCGCCCCTCTCGGAGAGCCCGGCAAGCTACCGAGAGTATTCGATATGCCAGACACAGTAACAACAAAGTCTCCAATGGAGACGTTACTGGGCCCGCTCGAGCAAATCGACGATCAACGGGAGGGCCTTTTTTCTTAGATGGCCTTGAAATTTCTGTTCTGGGTTGTAGGTCAGCTACTACTTCCCCTTGAAGACGCTGTGGCGCTCCTTCTTCGCGGCCCTCGTGGCGGCCTTCACGCTGCGCTCCATCAACCCGTTTGGGAATAGCCGTCTGGTTCTCTTCTATGTGGAGTATCACACACCCTGGTACATGGCCGAGCTCTTCCCTTTCATCCTGCTGGGGGTCTTCGGGGGCCTCTGGGGCACCCTCTTCATCCGCTGCAACATCGCCTGGTGCCGGAGGCGCAAAACCACGCAGCTGGGGAAGTACCCGGTGCTGGAGGTAATTGTGGTGACGGCCATCACCGCCATCATCGCCTACCCCAACCCCTACACGCGCCGGAGCACCAGTGAGCTCATATCGCAGCTCTTCAATGACTGCGGGGCCCTCGAGTCTTCGCAGCTCTGTGACTACATCAACGACCCTAACATGACCCGGCCTGTGGATGACATTCCTGACCGGCCTGCCGGGGTCGGGGTCTACACGGCCATGTGGCAGCTGGCCCTGGCGCTCATCTTCAAGATCGTCATCACCATCTTCACCTTCGGTATGAAGGTGAGTTGAGGGCAGGATGGCTGGGGAACAGCACCCCCTGGCCCCAATACCTTTCCCTTCAGCTGCCGGGTACCTGACTGTCTTACCTCATAGGAAATGGTGCTTTAGCCCTGTGACACCTGTGGCCATGTCATGTTGGGAAGCCCAGCATTGGGTCTGTGTGCTGTTGTGGTTTGTTTTGTTAATTGATTTAATTCACAATTTTTGCTATTGTGGGACCCACAGCCATCTGACGGTGCCGGGTCTGGGAGTAGCCTGGGTAGGGTCTCCCCCATTCTAGATCCACACTTTTCCTCTCGAACAAAATCCCCGGGCTGTTTCTTTAAAACGCCTAAGAAGGGGTGGGGTGCAGGGCCCAAAAGGCTGAGCACAGGGTTTACCTGCAGGGGACCCCGGTTAGAGCCCCAGCATTGCTGGGAGCGACCCCTAAGCACTGCTGAGTGTGACCCCAAAACTAAAACTCAAAGCAAAAATGGAAAGCTTAGACTGATGAGTACAGGAGCCTGAGCAGGTAGGTGTTTGCCCTGCACGTGGCTGGCTGGGATTCGATCCCTAACATCTGCCGGTCCCCTGAGTAGACCAGGAGTTAATCCTGAGTGCAGAGCCAGAAGTAACCCCTGAGCATTGCCAGGCGTGTCCCAAAACCATAAAGAAAAAAGGAAAAGAGTGAAGAGCAGAAAGCTTCATTTCGGCCTCAGGGTGGAGAACAGGCAGTGACTGGGAGGCTGAGGGGGCTGTTCACGATCCAGATGAGAAGAGGGGCCTTTGCATGTGCTCAGGATGCAAGGGGACTTGAATTCAGATACCACTCTGGGGTGGGTGCACACTAGGTGAATTCAAGAGCTTCTTTTACTCAGGAAAGCATGCTTGGGGCTGGAGTGATAGCACAGCAGGTAGGGCGTTTGCCTTGCACGCGGCCAACCCGGGTTCGATTCCCAGCATCCCATATGGTCCCCTGAGCACCACCAGGGGTAATTCCTGAGTGCATGAGCCAGGAGTCATCCCTGAGCATTGCCGGGTGTGACCCAAAAATTAAAAAATGAAAGGAAAGCATGCTTTGTGCTAGTAGCAAGATCATTCCATGCATAGCGATGCGTTTGTACTTCTTTCCTTCAAGAGAGTCCTTTAACAGTGCTGGGGTCTGGGGGTTGCTTGTGGATCGAAGTAAGGGCGTCACACATGCTGGGCATGTGCTCTGTCGACTGAGCCAGCTGCCCACATGGGCGGTGCAGGGCTTTGCGTTGTCTGGGGTAGAGCCTGGTGCTCAGTCCTTCGAGTCTCCAGTATAGAACCTTTTACTACATTACCTATGTTTTTGCATCTAACCTGGCTCCAAGTTCTTCAGAAGAGTTTTGTTTGGGGCCCACACCTGGTGGCTCTGCACTCAGCATCACTCAGCCGGGCTGGGGGAACCGTAGGAGGTGATGGGGATGAAACCCCAGTCAGCTGCATGCAAGGCAAGTTGGTCCTGCCGAAACTATGTCTCTCGCCCCTTCAGAAGACTTTTTGGAAAAGGCCGGGCATGGGAAGACAGGCTGAGCCCACGTACCTGTCTGAAGTTGCCTGGTCACTACACAGAAGCCGGGAAGCCTGTGACATGCGCTGAAGCTATGCTCTTCATCTCTGAGCAGCCAAAAGTCCTTTCCTGATATTTTCAGACTGTGCCTGGACATTGCCTTCTATTTATTAATTTATTTTAAACCATTTTTTTGTGCTCTTGGAACACACCTGGGGTTGCTCGTGGTGATGCTCCGGGGTTCCCTGCAGTACCAGGACTCAACCCTGGGCCTCCTGCATGCCACGCTTGTGTTCAGCCATTGAGCCACCTCCTCGGCCCAACACTGCCTTTTGAAAGTCGAGGGAACAGTCCTGCGGGGGTGGGGGGGGGCAGAGAATGTGGTGTTTCCCTGGTGCAGCAGCTCCTGTGTTGGGTCTGCAGTGGGGCTGTGCTGCATTCAGAGTCGGTCAGCCTGGGCAGTTTGGATGGAGAGGAAATGAGAGTGACACTCTCAGTGCACGGCAGACACTTGTCCCTCCGATCCTGGGCTGACCTACTTCAGAAGGTGGGAACTGAGGCAGGCTTGGGGGCGTGGGTGGGTGGTCAATATTTGCTGGGGCTGGTGAGGTGGGGGATGGGGGCCCTGCCCTCACACTGCTTTCTCCTCTCTGCTCCCTGGAGATCCCATCAGGCCTCTTCATCCCCAGCATGGCCGTGGGTGCCATGGCAGGCAGGATGGTGGGCATCGGCGTGGAGCAGTTGGCTTATCATCACCACGACTGGATCATCTTCAGGAACTGGTGCCGGCCCGGAGCGGACTGTGTCACCCCAGGACTGTACGCCATGGTGGGGGCTGCCGCCTGCTTAGGTATGACGACGGGGTGGGGACCATGGCCATGGAAGCCACAGGAAAGGTGGCATGCAGTTCTCTCAATGCTCTGGTGGAGGGGAGCGGTAAAAAGGGAGACGTAGACTCAGAAGCCCTTGTTCGGGCAGCAGGTGCCGTTGCTGGGCTGGGTAAGCCCCTAAGTCGCCGGGGCTCCCCATGCCAAGGCTCGGCTCTCACCCACCACAGTGGTTGTCTGTGCTCTTTGTGGAGTTCGTATTTGTGACTTTGCCAAGTTGCAACAATATGTCACCTTCCAGTTGATCCTTGTGGGGCTTCCATGGTCTTTCTTAGACACACAGAACAGTGGAGGACTTGACTGGTCTGACATGCAGTTCCCAGCTGTTCAGGCACAAAATCACCATCCACCTCAGTCCTCAGTATGCACATAGGTGGCCTTTCCAGCCTGTGCTCTGAGCACTTTTCTGTAGTTCCGTGCACACGATGCCTGACTTTGCTGAGTAACGGGCTCATGTGTGGCCTGGACCCCTCAGGCTGGGCTGGGCTTTACAAAGCACAGCCATGTGGTCCAACAGCTTCGTTTCAGACAGGAGCTGCAATGCTGTGGCCTTACGTTGGATGTTCACGAATCAGCAAGCTGTGGTGAGTAAGAAGAAGGTGTCCAAAAAGAAAGCCACATCAACCAAGAGTTCTGTGTTGATCATCCAAAGCAGTGGGATCAAAGAGCGAACATTCTAATTCCACAAGGAGATACTTCAGATGGCTAATTCAGTGTTTCTGGGGACTTTATAGATCCTACCTGGTTGGAGACTGTGTGTGTTGGTGGTGTGTGTGTGTGTTGATGGTATGTGTGTATATGTATGTGTGTTTGTGTTCAGTGATGACATGGAGTTGCCACCGTTTTGCAGTTGCACCAACCTGGGACAGTTCTTTCTCTTAATGACATCTGATAGCATCAGGTCACATCTGGGTGATGGCGCTGCCCCATCAGTGGGTAAAGTCAGTTGACCACTTAGAGCATGCCACGTGGCACAGAGCGATCCAGACTCATATGTTCCTTCTGCTGAGTCTGAGAAAGCATGCTTTGAGCTCCCTGCAAGATGGGGAGTTGGCACGGCTCCCCCTTTAAATATGGGGGAACATGATGTTTACTCCCTTGCCTGTCTTCAGCCCCTAGGAATCTCCAGGTGGGGGTTTCTGGAAGAGAGCCACTCAATCCGGCATGCAGGCTGAGTGAGCGACAGCCCAGCTACCTGTCACTAGGAAGAGCCCTCGTTGATGTCCCGTGTTTAGCAGAGCTTGGCCTGTAGTAGAGGGTGTCTGGGGGGATACGGCAGGGGGGGCCCTCAGGGTGCTCAGGAAAATGCTCAGCAGCTTGGGTGAGATTGGAAGTTCGTCCATCTCTTTGCTTCCAGGTGGAGTGACTAGGATGACGGTGTCATTGGTGGTCATCATGTTTGAACTCACGGGCGGCCTCGAGTACATCGTGCCCCTCATGGCGGCCGCTGTCACCAGCAAGTGGGTGGCAGATGCCTTCGGGAAAGAGGGCATCTACGAGGCGCACATCCACTTGAATGGGTACCCGTTCCTGGACGTGAAGGACGAGTTCACCCACCGCACGCTGGCCACAGACGTCATGAGGCCCCGGCGGGGTGAGCCGCCACTGTCGGTGCTCACGCAGGACAGCATGACCGTGGAGGATGTGGAGACACTCATCAAGGAGACAGACTACAACGGCTTCCCTGTGGTGGTGTCCAGGGACTCGGAGCGCCTCATCGGATTCGCGCAGAGGAGGGAACTCATTTTGGCCATCAGTGAGTAATGCAGGGAGACCAGTGCTCAGCAGCCTTACAGTGCTGTCAAGGCTGGAGGGTTGTGCGCTCTGGGAGCTTGTTTTGGGGCCCCTGGGGTCTCTTGCATGTCTTGACTCAGTAGGCCTGGGATGGGATGTCGTGCTGCGTGTCCCCTAAAGTCCTCATCACTGCTGACACAGTGGGGGTCAGGCCCTTGAGCCACAGTGCTGCCCCCTCCCCTCCTGAGAGGTGATCTGGACTGAGAAATGATGGCTACCATGGCTACCTAGGTGAACCACCATTCTCTTGCCCTCTCCAGGCCGTTCCAGCCCGTTGCACAGTCAGAGCCCGTGGAGCAGGTGTGGCGCAGGGTCACTTCCCCACGAGGCTTCTCCCTCCAGTGCTCTGCAGACAGCTCTGCTGAGCTGAGAGGACGGGCTGACACTGGGGTTGGGGACCTGGCAGCCTGGGGCTATCAAGTGGCCCCGAGCAGGGTGTGAGGTGTCAGGAGGATGGGCAGGGCTAGGTGTGCTCAGCCCGATCCTGGTGGGGGCTTGTGGTGCTGGTGTGCGCTCCGACGGTTCTCTGCACTTTTGACGAAGTCAGGCTGTGGGAACTGCCCTGGAAGCCTACCTTCACCTCCCTGGTTCCTATTTCTAAGGCTCGTCCTTTCAATTTCTTAAACCTCTTCCTCATGTTAAATGGCTTTGTAAACATCTTTAAAGTCTGTTCATCAAAGGTTTTATAAAAATCAGTTTAGATACGCTATACTGTCTCATGTCAGCTTGGTCGCTCAGACATGCTCACATACATTCCTCCACTTCCCCGCCCGCCATCAGCGATTGATTTTGTTTCAGACACAAGGGCACGTTTGTGCACCGGCATTGGGTGATGCTTTTCTTCATTATTACAGGTCCTGTGGCTTTCCAGGAAGGCAGGTGCCTTGAAGCATAAATGTTCCTTGACAGATAATGAGGTTTTTCCCCCTAAGCTGAATAAGTAGCGTTGGGTTTGTTTTAAAATAATGTAATCAGCAGCCTTTAAAAATTTATTCAGTCCCTGAAATCTTTTAAGCAAAGGTTGAAATTTAAAAACTCAAGTAATAGATGTCACGGAATCCATTACCTATTGTGTGCCGTAGCACACCTGCTAGGAGCCAGCGTACTAATTTTGCTGCAGCCCATTACTGTAATCAAGTGGGAAGCGGTAATTGTCATCAAGCGGCTAGAGGAGAAATTGAAGCTTGCCAACCGAGTGCTCTCCTAGAAGCTATGTTTGGAATGTGTGAAGAGGCGACATGTGGCGTAAATAATACCTCTCTGCGTTCAATCAGACCCATAATAGTAGAGATGTTGCTCTCCGCAGGGTTTGTGGAAAAGGTAAAGGGTATTTCTAAGCAATCAGAAAAGCTGTTTTCCCGATCAGTCAGAACAGAAGAGTTCCCGTACTTTGGTGGGGGAATTCCTGACCTGGATTCTGGAAAGCTGTGCCCTTTTGGGACTGCAGACACATGGCATTCACATGTAGCTCGTGAGTACCCCAGGCCACATTTGTTCTCAGGGGAGTCGGGAGCAAAGAGGATGGATGGATAAGATCCAAGGCGGTTTGGGTTCATGTGGTAAACGAAGCTCTGTCTCATGTCTTGGGTAGCGACTGCTCACGGGAAGCTGCACATGGGATTTTCCCTCCATTTGCGGAATGCCAGGCCATAGATGTTGCCTTTGTTAGTCGCTCCACGGCGTCCTAACACATGGGGACACATGTGTCCCTTGTTCAGGTTCCTGGTAAATGGGACTTTACCTCTTGGTGCCTTTTGCAAATTGGAGTCTCTTATGTGCGCTCAGCAGGCTGAGCTCTGAGTTCCTCAATTAGGGGAGGACAGTCAGAGAAGACTCAGCAGGAAGCCACAGAGATGATTAAAGGAACGGGAAGTTAACGTCCTGGGCAAGAGTGAAGGGAACGCTCATGTTTTTCATTCGCTGGATGATTTAATAGCGCTTCTCCAGCGTGTGCAAGGGCTGGCGTGCAGAGCGGGATCTGCAGCATCTGAGCAGAGCAGGAGACCCGGGTCCGATCTGTGGGATGAGCCTGTGGGTGGATATTTCTTTCTTTTTAATTGATAATTTAAATTTTTTAATTAAAGAACTGTGATTGGCAAAGTCATCGATAGTTCAGTCTTAGGTATATAATATTTCAACACTAATCCCACCACCAGTGTCCACTTCCCTCTCCTGGTATCTCCATGCTCCCTCCCTGCGCCCCCCTGAATGTGCCCTGGGGAGCAGCCGCATCCTTTGTGTTGCATGTTCGCATCTCCAGAGAGGAACTTCTTGTGGCTCGGGAGAGGAACCAGTCATATGATCCGTTGACACTTCTAAGTTGTCTTAACTTTCTTTGTCCTCTCGCCTTTGTGCCACTGATCTCCCCTGTAATTCTCGCCAATTTTCTCTTCGAACCTTTCTCATTAGTTGTATCTGTTTCACAGAAGCATTTCTGTTTGGTTTGGGAGCCACACCTGGGGGTGCTCAGTGCTAATTCCTGGCTGTGGGCTTAGTGATTATTCCTGGCAGGGTTCAGGGAACCAAACACAGGAGGTCAGGCACATGCAGGGCAAGCACCTTCACCTTGGTACTATCTCTCTGGCCCTGGCAAGTCTGTCTTATGGCAGTCCCCAAGACAGCAGCGCTCTGGTGTACCAGCCAGAACCCCACCTGGCAGTTCTGCCTTGGCCCTGCTTGGCAGCCATTTCCTGACCACCTGCAGGCCCACTCGCTTGCTAGCTTGCTACTTTTTCTGTGTCGACTGTGTACCAGCTGCTGTCCAAGCCCTGAACCAACAAGGCAGCTGACTCGCAGATTCAGTGGACTGTGACGCTGTCGGGGACCCACCATTCACTGAGTGGTGCTCGGTTTTATTTTTTTTATTTTTATTTATTTATTTATTTTTTGCTTTTTGGGTCACACCCGGCGATGTTCAGGGGTTACTCCTGGCTCATGCACTCAGGAATTGCTCCTGGCGGTGCTCAGGGGACCATATGGGGTGCTGGGAATCGAACCTGTGTTGGCCATGTTGGCTGCGTGCAAGGCAAACGCCCTACCCGCTGTGCTATTGCTCCAGCCCCTGTACTTGGTTTTAGAAGGGACGTAACAGACCTGGATGGGGGCAGGTTGTCCTGGATGATGCTCAGCTTTAAGCCAATCTCTGAGAGAGGTCGCTTTTGAATGGTGGCTCCGTAGGTGTGGCCGGTACATCCATGCCTCGTGGATTGGGGCATCATCTGTATTTTTCTTGCGTCATATTGGTGCCGTAGGGCGCTGCTGGGTGAATCCAGTGCCATTTGATGTGACTAGGTGGGAGCCGACGGCGTCCCATGTAGGCGTTTGCCCAGTGGCCCTTCCTCCCAAAGGCCACAGACCTTTACCATCTCTGCCTGACCTGGTGCTGCCAGTTTTCCATTAGAGGACTTGACTGCAGAAAATGGCCTGAGAGCAGGCGGGGCCAACTTTAGCTTCCAAAGAACAATACAGGTGAATGACGGTCTTTGAGGAGGCAGGAAATGTATCGGAGAAACCAGGTTCCATTTTAAGACAAGCCTTGCTGTGCATTTTTCCTAACCTTTTCCCATGAACTAAAAGAAAGATTAAAATTCCAACAGAAGGAAAATCGCCTTGGAGAAATATCTTGAGAGGGTGGATTTATTTCACGTGTGACTTAAAATAGCCTGGCTTCTAGTCCTGCAGAAAACTCTTTCTAATGAGTTCCTGTTACCCTGCTTTTCTCCAGCCTTCTCTCACATGGCCTTGCTCCAGATAGCAGTAGACTAATTGTTACCATAACCGTTTTACTATCTTTTTTTTTTTAGAAATCTACAAAATGTCCCCATTTTCAGGAGTGGAGATGCCCGGGGAGGGTGGACAGGGCTGTTCGGGTTATTTCTTTGGTCCCAAAGGCCTTGTTTGAGCTGAGTTTCTGGGCCATGAGCCTGGGATGGTCTGTGGGTTTCTTGTTCACTTCAGGATCCCTAGTGCCAGGAGCCTGTGTAAAGGCACTGGCTGAGGGTCGTTGGCGGCCAAATGTGCATGAAATGGGCCTTGGGTAACTTCAGCCCATGATGAGGTGCAGGAGTTCTAGGACAGTAAGGGCTGTGGTGCCCTGGGGAGTTTGGGGGGAAAGCAATGAATAACCTCAAAGGAGCCTCCATCTTCCTGATGGTGGCGGTGCATGCTGGGCTGCCACAGGGGCCCTTACACAGCTTGACTGAGGTGAGCTGCCCATTTCTGCGGGTGTGTGGCTGGAGTCCTTCATGAAGAATGGGGATTGGTGGGCTGGAGTAATAGTACGATGGGTAGGGCGCTTGCCTTGCACACAGCCAACCTGGGTTCCATCCCTGGCACCACATATAGTACCCTGAGCCCACAAAAAGTGACCCCTGAACACCGCAAGGCTTGGCCCCCATTAAAAAAACAAAAATTGGGTAGAGGTGGGGGTTGGAATCCAGAGTACAGCAGGCAGGGTGCTTGCTTTGCACATGGCTGACATGGGTTCAATCCCTGGCACCTCATGTGGTCCCCTGAGCGCTGCCAACAGAGCGTTTGGGGGTTGGGCGGGGCATTGCTCGAAGGTGCTTTGTGGTTGACAATCTCTGCTTGCCTGTTCTAGAGAATGCCAGGCAGAGGCAGGAGGGCATCGTCAGCAACTCCATCATGTACTTCACGGAGGAGCCCCCTGAGCTGCCGGCCAGCAGCCCTCAGCCCCTGAAGCTGCGGCGTGTCCTGAACCTCAGCCCTTTCACAGTTACAGACCACACCCCCATGGAGACGGTGGTGGACATCTTCCGCAAGCTGGGACTCCGCCAGTGCCTGGTGACACGGAGCGGGTGAGTTCTGGGCGTGCACGGATGTTCACAGGGAGGGAGTGGATGGGACACGTCAGCCCACGGGACTGGGTTCCACTCATAGAGGTGGGTGGAGGGCCTTGGGTACTCAGTGCTTGGGTGGCGGCGCATCTTGGGACAGGGACGACTGATTCCCACCTGCAGGTGGTGCTTGGTGTGGGCAGAAGGTGGGGCCTGTTCTGGTCCTTGGCTAGTGTTTGCCTTTGAATCCCAGCAGGGCTGTGGGAAAAGCAGGGCCAGGCGCACAGCAACCAACATCTTTGTTAAACCCTTAAGACAGATCTCCCGCCGGGGCTGGACTGGCGCTCCGTGCGAGACACTCGCTTTGCACATCAGGCCCTGGGTTTCATCCCTAGCATGGCCGAAGAACAAAAAGAATGACCCTGTGCCTTGACCCCCGAAACAGCTTGTTTTCAAAACAGATGTGAGCGAGCTGCGAGGTTGGGGGACCTACAGCTGCCTCGGCCACAGCAGCATTACTTAGCCTGGTGCCGTTGCAGGCGCAAACCCAGTCCTGCCAGACCCAAGCTTCTTTTTCTTCTTTTTTTTTTAAATTTAATTTTTATTAGTGAAACACCATGAGGTACAGTTGTAGACTTACAAATTTTTGTGCTTGAGTTTCAATTATACAATGATCAAATACCCATCCCTCCACCAGTGCCCATTTTCCACCACCACGGGTCCCGGTATCCCTCTCGCCCCCATCCCCCCACCCCACCCTGCCTCTGTGGCAGGGCATTCCCTTTTGTTCTGTTCTCTCTCTCCTTTGACCCAAGCTTCTTAAGGGCCCGAGCATGCTCAGAGGTGTGCCCTGAATTCTGTGTCTTGCTTCAGAATGTGGGTGAGGAGGGCTGGGTGCAGGCAGGGTAGCCTGAAGCTGGGGCATCCACTTAGTTAATTCCAGCCTGGGCTGTGAGGTTTTTTTTCCTTTCTGGGTCACACCCAGAGATGCACAGAGGTTCCTCCTGGCTCATGCACTCAGGAATTACTCCTGGTGGTGCTTGGGGGACCCTATGGGATGCTGGGAATTGAACTTGGGTCAGCTGTGTGTGCAAGGCAAACGCCCTACCCGCTGTGCTATTGCTCCAGCCCTGCGCTGCGGGTTTGTGGGTGGTGGAGATGCTCATGTCGGACTCAGGTTGGACCCTCCTGGATTTCAGAGGCTTCGTGCTTTGACAACATCAGCGTTCCTAGGGCTTTAACCCAGCCCATCTTCTCCAAATGTGATGGAGCACCCCTGAGATTTGGGGTGTGACTCTTTGCTCTGGGCATCTCCCATGTGTTCCTTGGCACCTTGTAATGTCCAGGCTGACTCCCACCGCGCTAGAGGGTCATGGGCTCAACAGGGGCCTGTCATTGCCGTGGAGGGCTCTGGGACTGGATGCCAGGGAGAGGCCAGGATTGCAGCCTGCAGATACTCTGCGGGACCCAGCCTTGTTTGCCCTCCGGCGTCACTCCTAGAAAGGCTGGCACGGACACGTGGGTGCAGGCGGTAACTCAGCAGCAGGGCAGAGCCCTGAGCCCTGCTTACATCTGGTGCAAGTGTAGACCATGGAACGGGTCAATGAGAAGAGGTGGACGAGGAAGGCTTTGCGGCTGGGAATCTTTTCTGCCAGTGGCCTCGAGACATCAGTACTTCTCAGTGGCATGGGCAGGAATGGGTCAGCCCAGCCTGATTGCTCGGGTCCCCAGGGGAACTGCGAGTGGCTCTTCCTTCCCGGTCTCCAGGGAGACCCCACTTGGCTGCAGTTGGTCGAATTCGTGCTTGAATTTCCCGCCCTCGGCCTCTGCACTGCAGTGGTGGACGGTGCCTCCCAGTGGCTAGCAGCTTCTCATCTCCTTTAGAATAATAATCCAGTGTCAGTTCTGCCAGGAAATTCGGCCCTGAACGCCCGCTCACACCTCACCAAGAAGCCCAGGAGGTTTGCCTGTGAATTCTGGGTGCCGAAATTGGCTCCGAATGTTCTTGCAAGAAAACAAACTCACACTCTCTCTCCTTCGCTCTCTGTATTTTAAACAAACACAGATGCTGATACGTTAGTGCTGGCAAGTGAGCCCGGTCGGCGGCCTTTCATCTCCTTGGGCTTCCTGCCAGGCAGGCACGTCTGGAGCCAGCTCGCGTTTTCCATCTCCATTGGCCATGTGCTGTCCCAGCTCACAGCACTTCTTGGGCCGGCCTCAAGACAAAACCAGGCCAGGCACAGAGGTCTGGGGCCCCAGAAAGGACAAGTGAGCAGGGCAGATGGTGGCCTCTTTCCCTGGTCGTGTTTCATGGGGCCACTTGGCTGGGATGGGGTGGTTTTCTCAGGACAGCCCTGCCGCTGCCCTCTGAGGAATGGCCTGGCCAAGGTTCAGCGGGTTTGCTTCCATCAGACTCCCTCAAACTGTTCCCCAAAGGCACTAGAAGTCCAGACACTGGATTTAAATCTCCGAGGCCATTCTGTGCCACTCATGAACCCTGTGGACCTCGCTGGTCATCTGGCGGGTACGGAGCTTTCTTCCTTGGTGATAGTCATTGTTGCGGGCCTGGGACCCGCAGCTTTGTTGCCTCATAGCCCTTGTCACCAGCTTGGCTTTGGGACATCATAGTGGCCTGATTTTGACAGGAGTTTGGTGAGATTGCTTTATGCAAATGCCCGATCTTTTGACACTAATGCTAAGGTAAAGGGAAGGGAAGGAAAACTAGGTAGCTCTTGGGTACTAAGTGCCAATCAGGGTCCCCACCCCATCATCATTTTGCTCAGAATCTGTTTGAGAACTCGAGAAGGTTCCAAACATGTTAACCTTTTCTGAAGACATGGAGCTTATTCTTGAAGGAACAGGGACATAACCCAATTGATGGCTCTCTAGGGCACCACAGTGTGAGCCAGGCTTCATAGTAGACATCAATGTTGGTGATGAAAAAAGAGCTGCTGCCGTGGGGACACATGGCCCGCATGTCACTGCTGAGAATACTGTGAAGTGCTCCATCTTTGTGACCTATTCCGCTGTCCCAATCACAGGCCTCTAAGAGACAGATTCTGGGGAGCAGCCCCTTCCCACCAGACATTTTTATTTTGTTTATTGTTTGTTTGTTTGGGGGGCCATGCCCGGCAGTGCTCAGGGTTTGCTCCTGGCTCTGTGCTCAGAGATCACTCCTACTGGGCTTGGGGGACCCTATGGGACTGAACCTTTCATGGGTCTGCTTCATGCAAGGCAATTGCCGTATCCGCTGGACTATTGCTCCAGCCCTGCCTTCCTCCCTTTTGATTTTAACGAGTGTTGAAGGACCTTTGTGACCTGAGGGCCTAGTAACCTGCCTTGCGGCTGTGTTTGGAGAAGAGACTTGTAAAGAGGCGCTTCCAGTGACCTGTGGTCACGAGACTGAAGTCCCTACCCAGAGGGGCCATGGAAGCTCCACAGGTGGTGGCGTTGGAAAAGGCCATGTGAGGACGCAGCCCCAAAGCAGCCACCTGTGAGGCCAGGTGAGCAGCCTCTGGAGAACCAAATCTGCCTTTACCCACCCCCCCACCCCCCGTCTTGGCCTCACAGCCCCCAGCACTGTGGGAACAGACACTCCTCTTTTTAAGTTCTGCCGGCCGCAGTGCTTGGTCTGAGCAGCCCCTAGCTTGGCAGGCTCCATGTGGCAGTGTTTCATTTTATGGGGCATCTTGAATTTCACTGCGTTTGGATAAGTAATCCATGAACTTGGTTCAAGTCAAGCAGCTCTGAGCAGCTGGGATGGAAAATGCCTTCCTGGCTTTGTCTATCTCAGGCAACCACGCCCCACTTGGCTCGCACCTCATACGCAGACTTTTGTGAATGAGATCGATTTGATTTTTCTTAATTAAGGATGTTTTTGGTTATGGAAGATTTAGCTCATGTACCCTCTCCACTGCCCTTAGTTTCCCTAGTCCCCATCTTGCATGGGTGTGCTTTTTGTATTTTTTTTTTTGTGGGACCATACCCAGTGATGTTGAGGGGTAACTCCTGGCTCTGCACTCAGGAATTACTCCTGGCAGTGCTTGGGGGACCAGATGGGATGCTGGGGATTGAACCCAGGTTGGCTGTGTGCAAAGCAAGTGCCCTCTCCGCTGTGCTCTCTCTCCAGTCCCCTTGCATGGGCTTGTTGTATTTGCTTCAGTGATACAAATATATAACACTCTCACTGCTGGCTCCTAAGGAAGGGCCAGTTGACGGTCAGGTTCATGTGTGCTAATCTGTCTTCCAGGTGGATTTTTACAGATAGAAAATGATGACTGTCCATTTATTACAGGATCATACAGAGTCATTCCACTGACCCAAGGATCCTTGCTCCATCCAGTCACTCCTTAATAACCTGCCCCTTGCAATATCCAAACATACTTTTTCCAGAACATTGTGACATTGGAACCCTTGTGTGCAGCCTCACCGAGTCACATACATTTGATGTTTCTTCTTTTCTCTTCATGGCTCCAGAGCTCTTTTCTTTTGAGTGCTGAATAATGTACCACAGTTGCTTTATCCACTCACCCACTGAAGAAAATCTTGGTTGCTTCAAAATTTGGTCACTCAGTGGGGGAGGAGAGGAAATTGAGACACCTGTTGGTGCTTGGGGAGTGGCCCCTGACAGTGCTCAGGGGCCCATATGTGGTACTGGTGATCTCACGGGGTCAGCTTCAGCCCTGTCCTATCTTCCTGGCTCTGAGAATGACTTTTTGAATAGGAGCACGCAGCTTCTAAGACTCAGATTCTTCTCTTACATACCTCCTAGCATGTGATTAGTTGTACTTCACAGCTTGACACATCATCTGAGATTTGAGTGCCGAATTCCATGTGGCTTCACACTTTGCCTTTGCTTGAGTTATCTCTTGGGTGTTTTGTCTAGAACAATTCCCTGTCCATTTTTGTTTGTGACTTTTGACATATTTTTTTGAAGAATCCAGATCTATAGTCTCACACTCTGAATTTGCTTCCTTCGTTCTTTGGCTTAAGTCCTTTTGGGCCCCCATCCAGTGGAGCTGGTGCTGTAAGGCCCTCCCGTTGATCGTCGATTTGCTCGAGCGGGCCCAGTAACGTCTCCATTGGAGACTTTGTTGTTACTGTGTCTGGCATATCGAATACTCTCGGTAGCTTGCCGGGCTCTCCGAGAGGGGCGGAGGAATCGAACTCGGGTCGGCCATGTTGGCCGCGTGTAAGGCAAACGCCCTACCGCTGTGCTATCGCTCCACTGGGCCCCCATCCAGTGGAGCTGGTGCTGTAGCAACAGCTTTTTCCATGTGGCTCACTCAAGTTACCCCCTTCTCTTCTATATAATCTTGATCCTCGTGTCTTTTTTTTTCTTTTTGGGTCACACCTGGCTATGCACAGGGGTTACTCCTGGCTCTGCACTCAGGAATTATTCCTGGTGGTGCTCAGGGGATCATATGGGATGCTGGGAATCGAACCCGGGTTGGCTGTGTGCAAGGCAAACGGCCTACCCGTTGTGCTATCACTCCAGCCCAGATCCTTGTGTCTTTTCTGTTTTCTGGCAACCATTTCCCTAAAGATCAGGGAATCTACTGGTGATTTTTTGGGAGGTGGGGACTTTTGTGCCATACTCAGAAGGGTTCAGTCCTCACTCCTGGGTCTGTGTTCAAGGATCACTCCTGGCAGTGCTCTGGGGACCATATGTGGTACCAGTGATCGAACATGGATTTGCCATGTGCAAGACAAGCACTTAAATGCCTATATTATCTCTCTGATAATCATTGTTGAAGCTAATTATTATAGTATATAACTATATGTAAGTATATTACTGGTATGTAAGTATGAAACTAGTCTATAGTTATATACTAAACCTAATTGTTACAAAAACCTATTTACTGTTATACAGGATGCCACCAAATGCCAGTTTTCTATTTGTCTTACTTACTCCACTTATTAGATGATATTCCCCATTTCTGTGGATTGCCACTGCAGTCCTTATGTGTTCTTTCAGCATAGGCCATGCCTGTTGTCATCTTTGTTTTGGGTTAGCTTGCTTTTAAGGTTTCTTTGGTTACTTTTCTCTGTGCCGGTAGGATGGGAGGTAGTATCTGCTCTGTGTTGACAGTTGGGGAAACTAACCTAAGAAACTTCACTTTTTCAAGATTGCTTCAAGTTTGTTGTGGTCAGCATTTCTGCCCACACTTTTTCTGACCTTTGTCAGCATGGCCAGGAGTAAACCAGCTTGTATGTGGAACATTTACACTCCCGTCTTGAATTTACTTGTTGGTACTAAGAGATGAGTTTGAGTCCGTGGGTATTAATGAAACAGGGGCTGGTGCCTTGCAGTGGGGCTTTCTGATTTTTCATACAATCATTTTACTCAGGCAGAACACAGAGGACTGTCTTTTTAGTGGCTCCATAATATGCCGGTGTGAGACCATCCTAGTTTATTTCTCCATTTTCCTTTTCTTGGGTGTGGCCAAAACCTGGTGGGCAGCATTTTGTAAATTTATTGGCCAATGGAGCCTCTTTTCTCCAAAGAAGTTGTGTACAGGCTTTTCTTTTGAACTTTTTCCTTTCTTTCTGGTGAGATCCAGGCTGGCACATGACCACTACAGTATTTATGGCACCATGATTCTGGCCAGGATTGCTGTCTCACAGTTAGCTGTGTTGGAGAAAACTGTTTGATAGTGGAGCATTTGTGAATCGTGCTCCCTGCTGACCCTAGGCCAATGAGCTTGCCAACTGGCCTTACTTTGGTCAGTTAAAACCAATGGCATTCTGGGAGAGGGGATAATGTACATGTGTGATCCTAAACAAATGGCATATTTCATCCTTTTAGAACTAAAAATAGGATTAAAAATAGAAGCAGTGATTGTCTTATACATCCAGTTTTTATTTTTGTTGGTTTTTGGGCCACACCTAGTGATGCTTAGGGGTGACTGGTGCTCAGGGGTTCCTAAGAGGTGCCAGGGACTGAACCTGGGTCTGCTGTCTGCAAGGCAAGCCCCCTCCCTGCTGTACTATTGTTCCGGCCCCCTTATACTTCCAATTTCTTTTTTTTTAAATTTTTATTAGTGAAACACTGTGAGGTACAGTTGTAGACTTACAAATTTTTGTGCTTGGGTTTCAGTTATACAATGATTGAGTACCCATCCCTCCACCGGTGCCCATTCCCCACTTCCAATGCTCCCAGCATCCCTCCCACCCCCACCCCTCCATCCCACCCCACTCCTGTGGCAGGGCATTCCCTTTTTTTAAAATTTTTATTAATGAAACACTATGAGGTACAGTTGTAGACTTACAAATTTTTGTGCTTGGGTTTCAGTTATACAATCCAGTACCCATCCCTCCACCAGTGCCCATTCTCCATCATTTACATTTTTTTAAAAATTTTTGTTAGTGAAACACCATGAGGTACAGTTGTAGATTTACAAATTTTTGTGCTTGGGTTTCAATTGTACAATGATCAAACACCCATCCCTCCACTAGTGCCCATTTTCCACCACCATGGGTCCCAGTATCCCTCCCACCCCCCATTACCCCCCCTCCCCAGCCTCTGTGGCAGGGTATTCCCTTTTGTTCTCTCTCTCCTTTTGTGTGCTGTGGTTTGCAAAAGAGGCATTGAGTGGCAATCATATTTGGTCTATAGTCTACTTTCAGCATGCATCTTCCATCCTGGGAGGATCCTCCCAACACCCTTTCTTTGGTGCTCCCTTCTCTATCTGAGCTGCCTGCTTCCAATTTCTTATATTGAAAATATATTACAATCGGGGCCAGATATGTGACTCAGTGTAGAGCAGCTGCTTTGCATATGTGAGGCACTTGGTTTGGTCCTTGTACCTGGGGTCAGAGAGACAGCGCTGTGTGTGGCCCCCAAAAGAACAAATGAACATACTTTATGCATAGAATTTCTGCAGTGTGGCCAAGTTTTAGTGATGGCTTCCATAAATCCTTCTCAAGTTGTTCGTAGTTTTGTGTCTCTGACTCTTTGTCTCCTGCACTATGTCGTCTTTCTCCCAATTCGTCTCTAGCGTGGGTGGCAGTGGGCCTGTGCTCCATGCTACCTGCTCTGTGAGGGACCCAGATCTTTGAGTCTGGTGGCTCTGAAGTGAGTTCTCTGTTACCTTGGAGTCGAGTCCTTTGCTGGCTCCTCTGCCTCTGACTTGCAGGTGAGGAGAGAGACAGCAGGTGATGAGAAGGTATCTCCCACCTCCTCACCCACTCAGCTAACCCACTGCAGGACAGGCCAGAAATGTCTCCCGACAGGGGGTCCAGGAAGAGGCGTGAGTCACCGTTGTGATACTTGACCCTGTTTCTGTATTTTGTTTTTCTCCAGGAGACTTCTTGGCATCATCACAAAAAAGGACGTTCTACGACATATGGCCCAGATGGCAAACCAGGACCCCGAATCCATCATGTTTAATTAGAAGCAAGGTGGCACTGATTCCGAGGAAAACACAACTGTGTCATTTTAAAGATGTAAATCATATGTTATTACCCTCATGAACCATTGTCTGCTGGGGGCATCGGAAACAAAAACCTCATTTGAAGAAAGGGAAGAAGATGAAACCGTTTTAGGAAGCAGTATCAGCAAGTAGGCATTTTGTAGCATTAACCCCTTACAGTTTCAAGCTGTGTTTGTTATTGAGATGACTGATGGCCATGGGGGCCGGGGCTCGGAGTAACCGTTGCAGCTGTCCGTGGAGCACTTGCACCCGGTCCAGCAACCTTTGTCCCTTCTGCTCATGGCTGCTGCTCAGGAAACTTAGAGCCCCAGTGGTCCAGGATTAAGGTTATTCATTGGTTCCTACAGATTCGCTGTTTTGTCCCTGCACCAGACTATAGACATTCGTACTTTGCTGGAAGAGGAATTTCATTTAAATGTACTACAAGTTGCCAGTGCCCTCCTGGTGACTTCATCCTTCCTTGCTCCTGTCCTCAACTTGTTCTTTTGCTTTTTGGTTCTGACCTGACATCTGAATAAGTGCAAAGCCATCATTTGTCTCTGCAAGGCCAGCATCTTGGGACTTCCTAGTGATCTCTTAAGGCCTTCTGTGCTGTCTGCTGCATTTCCTGCTCTATCAAGGGATTCACCCTGACTTTCCAGGTGCACACACCCCGTCATGCATCTGCACCTCTCTGGCATTTGCTTCATTTATGTATCACTGCTGCTGCCTGTGCATTGTGAAGTAGCCATCCGTATGCCACTTTCCGAGGATTGTAGCTTGTCGACGGTCAACTCGCTATAAGAGTGCTCTACTTTCCAGCTAGCATGTAGCAGAGTCCAAACAGACTCCCCAGAGTTACTGCACTTCTTCTCAGATCTGATTAAATACGGCGGCAGAGAGGGCAAAGCATGAGTTCTCAGTGGGAACTCCTCCAAATGGATTGCAAGAAAAAGACTAAATTGATTCTAAATCTATTCCATTCTCTTCTCTGTAGGATGCAAAACGTCCCGCTTGAATGTATTAACCGTGTACTTTCATACTAGCAGTCAGCTGACAGAAGGACACAGTTCCATTTCAGATGGCCAAGTGGAGCACTGAGGATCTCTGTCTTTGAGATGGATGGAGGTGGCATCTCCTCCCGGGACCTCCATCTTCTCTGTGGGGAGGAATGGAACTGCGTGTCTAGGGCCTCTGTAGAATCTGTGAAGAGTAGGTGTCTTCGGCCTGTTTGTTCCTCTTCTCTGATCTGTCCTCTTCCTGTCCTCTTCATTGGATATTAATGTGCATGCGCTGGCTGCAAAGACATGCAAACCCGCTAAAACCACATAATGCTGAATAAGAGACTGGGGCGGAAAAATCAGGCCCAGCCCCATCCTCGCAAGGATCCACACTCTTGGGGACTCTTTCACCATCATCTTCACCTTTTTTTCCCAGGGCTTATTGCCTTCTGGGTACCAGAGTGCCAGGAACGAGTTCTGCTAGCTGAGCTGGACACGGCAAGGGGTCAGCCACCAGCACCCAGCTGCCGGCCTTGGCTGATGTTGGGCCACGTGGTTCCCAGCCATGTGTGAGTCTGCCAAGGCTGCTTTGGAGCTAGCATGTCACTCTGACGAGATGGAGCGTGTTGTTGTGGGGGAGGGGCAGGCCTGGGGTTCGTTGTGCTCTTTGCCCTCACTGTTGTTCCTGCTCTGTCCTGAACATTCTCGGAGCCTTACTGTCCCTACTGTCCTCTCTCCTGGCTGACGCGTTCCCACCAGAACCTGTCACTGCACAGCCAGAGTGAAAAACTCAGTGGGCCACCAACCTAGCCACCAGCAGGCTCGTCAGGAACTTGGACTCGGTGGAAGAAAATCCACTGACATGAGCTCCTCCGAGAGCCCGTGGGAGCAGCGGTGGGTCAGCCACTGAGTGAAAGGACTGGCTGGCAGGTCCTGAGGAGTGGGTGCAAGCGAGGCTGGGTTCTTTTTCTGGGGCTTGAAATCCCACTTCTTCGCTCCCCTGTGGCCTCCCCCAAGAGTGTGGCTCAGAGTTGTGCAGGGGACGAGCCAGGCTGACCACAGGGCTGGCCCGGAGCTGCATCGCGGGGACAGGAAACGGTACACAAATAGTCCCCTGGGGCCACAGTCACCCGCAGAACCGTGCCCCACCCCTCCCCCCCCAGTGCCTCATAGATGTAGCCGAGAATGGTGGGCAACCCCGGAAGCTTCATGTGACTTCAAAACCTTTGCTTTCTTCCAGAACTTGAACTTCTAATTGGTTGTGGGGTTCCGACGCTCCTCCAAGAAGTCTAAGGTCAGACAGGTGGGCTAAGTCCAGGAAGGTAGGGTGAGCATGGGGTACTCCCTCCCCTGGATCCCTAACTATGCCTAGTCTCCAGATCCAGACCTTAGACTCCACAGGGAACCTGCCACGGCCTTTTATCACCCTCCCTCAAAATACAGGGGGCAGGGGGTAAGGGGCAGGGGGTGCTTTACTGTCTCCCAATTTAAGTCTTCCATCTGGTCTACCCAGTGACCAAAGAGCCAGATTCCAAGAACTGGGGTGCTGAGGGGAAAAAAACCATTTCAGAAGGATGCGGTATCTCTTTCCGTAACCAAAGCATCTCGACCTTTGTACAACTTTCTGGATTCTCTCAGAGTCCGTTTTTTAATGTAAATAAATACAAATATGCAGTGGAAAGGGGGTCCCTTAGTGAGGCCCATTAATCTTTTTCTTGCACTCTCTCTCTACGGAAATGTGCTATAGAGGGATGGATGCCAGATAAAATGTCCTGAAGGTGACAGATGAAATTCTTGTCAGTGCTTCTTAGCATGGGCCTAGATGCAGATTTTTAGGGGAAGGGAATGTGCTAGAAGCAATTCAATATTCAGTGTTTGCTGTTAGATACAGGGCATTCAGTTCATCCCAAAAGCACCTTCCAAAGAAGATGTGAAAACAGACATATTTGGTGCACCTAGAAACTGAACGCTTTTGAGGAGTTGGTTTCATTCTGGTGACAGCAGCTTAGTTGAACTCCTCAATGTGTATAACGTCCATTCAGTAGTCACTATCCATTTCAGCTTGGCACTGAGCTGAAAAAGAGGAGAAATCAAGAAGTGGGTCTTCAGACTTACCTCCTCATCATAATAGTCTTCCTTTGTGCGGCTCGGCCCTGGCACTCTGCAGGTTCCGCTTCCTGCCTTGCCATCCGTTTGCAGGAGCGGGAGCTGGCTGTCAGCTGGGCGCACTGGCCAGGCTTGTGGCCGCTATAACTGTCAATCTCGTGACTTTCATGAGCTCGGTGAGCATTCGGTGTTGGAATGACCACAGAGTTGTGTGGTCTCTGCATTGTAACGCTGTGTGAACATTGGCACCTTATTAAAAATGAAATGTTTCAACTGTATTTTTCAAAATAAAGCTAGCAGAGAGTCTTGAGAAGCACGTTGTGCATGAACGGGATACTGACATCACAGCCTATTTCTACCCAGCAGAGCCTTCAGGAGCCTGTATGTGAATGACTGCGGAGATGCCCTACCAAGCCCGAGACCCACGCAAGAGTGTCACGCCAGAGTGTAACTCCAGTCTGGGCTGCTTGCCAATCCCTGTTCTTAGCAGGTGGGCAGAAGCCAAATACAAATGCAGACCAGGGCTCGAGATTTCCATGGACAGACGGACAGGACTGCTGGGCCCCAGGTCATCTGTGTGTCCGCCCTGGGCAAGGGAGAAGCTGGGGAGGACTCTTCCCTTCTAACTCATTCTTCCATTCCTCCTTTCAACAGAATCCGTTCTGTCGGAGACTAGAGAGGTTTGAGTTATGCCTTGCCTTACCAGTTTGTGTATTTTGAAATTTTTCAACTCAAGAGAACTTTTGAAACTCCAGAAAAGCACAAAGGATGCTGGCATAGGCTCCACCTAGGAGAGATGCATCCCCTCTGATTACAAGAGGTGGGCAGCTTGGGGCATGTCATCAATCGAGTGGACAGGAAGTGTGTGTTTCCTGAGGTGAAGTGAGAAGTGTTGGAATGACCTGGGAAGCAGGTCGGCATGTGTGGCTGACCCCTAATGCCTAGCCTGGGAGGGAGCATCGACATGGGTTTTATTTTCTCTTGGGGGCCAGGGAGACACCAGCAGATGCCTGGGGGATGTGGGGGTGTGGGGCCTGGTAATGATGTGACTCAATTTGCATTCTCCATGGCCCCACTCAGGCTGACTTGTTGCAGGAGTAGACGGCAGGAGGCTGGCTAGGAGCCTCGCAAGGATGCGAGTGATGACAAGCTTGTCCCAGAGAGAATCTTGGATTCCGGCTGCTTTGCAGGCAGAGTGGATACCAAATGGTACCACCAAGTTGCTGTTTTCTGAGATGGGCCCGACTAGGTAAGGGGCCTCCTTTTGAAAATGTTGAGAGTGTTTCTTTCCCAAGTGGTACTTGGCCTCATTGCCACTCTGGCAAAACTTGGCTACATTCTGCTTGACCCAGCGGAACTGGGGGCTCCCAGGACTACCCTGATAGGGTTTGGGGAACCAGGCTGATCTGGAGAAGTCGAACCCCTGCCCCTCGAGTGCCAGCCAAGCCCTCCTGTGCTCTGAGCATCTTCCTTGTGGATGCATTTGTCCACTTGTCCACTGAAGCTCTGTGTTCCCACTCAGTTCAGGAGGATTATAAGCTTTTAGATGTCAATCAAGCCATTAACATATTGGTGGCATAAAAGTCACGCCTGGAGACACGCATGCCCTAGCACTGCCCTAACAGCCAAACATTGCAGCTGTTTGAGGGTCACTCTGATGTTGGTGCCCATAGGGTCGTGCTGAGATCCCAGTCCCATGACCCCAAGCTGAGTGACATTAGCCAGTACTTACTCCTATAGTGCTTGGGGCACCGTAGGTGGTGCTGAGGATTGAACTGGAGTCTGCTGTGTGCAAGGTTCCAGCCCCCACCCCCAGTCCTCTCAGGGGAGGCCAGTGACCCCAACATAATGGGGAATGAGAAAGCCCCAAGAGGCTTTCAGAGAGCCACACTCATTTCTCTAGCTCTCTTCTGGGGGGGCAGGAACAGCGGGAAACGGACCCTTTGATTTGCAGCAAGTCAACCCAGTGCAAGGCTAGATGTAACTTGTTTGTTTGCCATTAGAAACTCAAGGTCTGCTGCTCTTCCAGACAGACAGAACTCTCAGCCTGCTGCTGCTGTAGGAACAAGAGTCATGAGTGCTGTTCAGCACGGGCCAGGCTCGTGTGGGCTGCAAGATTTCCCTCCAACCCGGCGCTTAAAAGACAGGCTGAATGCATGAGCACTGTTTGTCCCAAAGGTGACAACCCATCCTGACCTTCAGGGAGCTTAGCTAGAGCCAATCAGAATTGCTTTGCAAATCCATTTCCGGGTCACGAACGTCTTCCTCTGCTTGCACTGACGAAAGGGACCAGACCCTTCCATGTCCTGGGCTGGTGCTCCAGCTGACACCGCCTGCGGCTACACCCTCCCCATCCCACTGGTAGTTAATCAGCTAGAAAGAAGCTACCATCTGTGACAGCAGATAGGGAGCATCTATTGTTGGCAGCTCCCCAGCGTTGCGTTAAAGAAATGCCTTTTGCTTTCCCGATGAGCAGTGAGTGGCGAGCACCTTGTGGGGATTTCCAAACCCCTTTAGTTGAGGTTTGGCTCACAGGAGGAAGGGAGCAATGTCTGTGGGATTCCAGCTTTGGTTATGGAACACATATTTCAAAGATTAAACAGCCATCCTCAACCCAAACAGTTTGTGCCAGAGAAATTGCAAACACATCCACCAAGTCTCACATTGCAGGCTGTGTGACAGGGCTGGAGGTGCTCTTAGAACAGTCTCTCCTTCCTCGAGGTTCCATGTCCGTTCCTCACACGCTTCCAATGACTCCAGGGGCCCCCTCCTGCCCCTGCTCCCCTACCCACGTGTTTCCAGGCCTCATTCACCTACGGGGAATGGGAGATTTCACACTGAGGAACAGGTTTTCTGACTTTCCTATTTTATTCTTTTTTGTTTTGGGGGCCACTGCTAGCGGTGCTCAGGGATTACTTTTGACTCTGCTCAAGAATTTTTCCTGGCAGGCTTGGGGGACCCCGTAGGATGCTGGGATAAAGCCAGGCTGGCCGCATGGAAGGCAGGTGCCTGACCCCCTGTGCTATCCTTTGGGGCCCTTTCTGGTTTTTCTGAAAGTTAACCTGTCCCCAGAAAGCCTCAGGCATGGCCAGGAATGAATGGCCGCGGGCGGTTTGTATAGCGACAAGTTGCCAAGGCCTGAGTTCTTCCACCAGGCAGGCCCCACCCAAAGGGCCAACTGCCCAGGGAAGAGCAGATGTGGGGAAGCAAATGGAAAGTTCCATATGCTGGGCCTGGGGCAACAGAAAGTTTCTTCTAGAATTTGCAGCCAGGTGACCTGGGTACAGCGGGTGTACTTGGGGCTTTAAACACACCATCCGGGCATTAGAGGCAGGGAAGGGCGTGGGTCCCAGCCCAGGGCCTGGGCACACAGTGGCACACTGGGGAACTCAACCTTAGGGGAAACGACGGAAGGTCAGAAATGCCACAACCTGGCTGCCTGGCCATGTGACTGGCCTGAGAAACAAGGTCTCAGCCCTGCTGCCTCCTTCCTCGCTGTCCAGCTCTGGGGTCAGCCCTTGGCAGGGGACCGTTCTGCTAGCTGTTGGAGTGACGCTGCCTGTGCACCCTTGGGGCCGGGCGACCATGCTTTCATGTCTTTGGGGGTGACTAGTGGTCCCGGCAAAAGTGGGGTGGGGATGCCTAAGGCCTGGGGCTTTGGTGTTCGGCACCTTAGAGGAGGCGGCTGTGCTGGTGCTGCCTGGATGCAACTTGGGTACCCAGCTCTCCTTTTCTGCTGCTGGCTTCCACTTTCATCTCCCCACGCCCACACGTTGGCCCTTCTTGGAAACTTCCCCAGAGGACCAGGAGCAGTTTGTCTTTTCTGGAGGTTGGATGCTCCCACGGGTGAGTCACAGCAGCAGCCCCCCCCCCCCCCCCGGGAGGTTCTTCAGCGTTTCTTTTTTTTTTATTATTATCTTCTAACTTTTTTTAAATTAATTTTTATTAGTGAAACACCATGAGGTACAGTTTTATATTTACATATTTTTGTGCTTGGGTTTCGATTATACAATGATCAAATACCCATCCCTCCACCAGTGCCCATTTTCCACCATCACAGATCCCAGTATCCCTCCCACCCCCATCCCCCCATCCCATCCTGCCTCTGTGGCAGGGCATTCCCTTTTGTTTTCTCTCTCCTTTTGGGTGTTGTGGTCTGCAAAAGAGGCATTGAGTGGCAATCATGTTCGGTCTAGAGTCTACTTTCAGCATGCATCTCCCATCCTGGGAGGATCCTCCAAACACCCTTTATTTGGTGCTCCCTTCTCTATCTGAGCAGCCCTTTCCCCTAGAATGCCCGGTTGGCCTCTAAGCCATGGAGTAATTCTCCTGGTACTGATCTTGGCTATTCTTGGATATTAATCTCCTATTTTGTTACTTTATGTCCCCCAGATGAATGCAATCTTTTTATGTCTATCCCTCTCTGACTCATTTCGCTTAGCATGATACTTTCCATGTAGTACCACTTGTATGTAAATTTCATGACTTCATCTTTTCTAACAGCTACATAGTACCTTCAGCGTTTCTTTAAGGGGCGCCATTGGCACAGCCACACCCAGTGCCGCTCTTACAGGGCATTGCCTCCCAGCTGCGCGGGAGACGGCAGAGCCTACAGTGCTGGAAATATTTCCTTTCTGGCCCTTTATGGAAAATACCACCAACTCAGCAAATGAGGATCACTGGCCACTGGACAGCCACCAAGAGTCGTTTAGGGCTCTCATACTGAGTGGAGGGCACAGAGATGCGTTTCCAGCACAAGTGGGAGAGGTGAGATGCTGGTGGACTAAGACGAACATGTTCAGATGTTTCTCTAACAGTTTAATGTACCAGACACGGTGGCCCTGGGTCGGCCCCACCAGTGGTCTCATGACTGATGTTAAGGCTGAAATACATTTTCTGCCAGTGGATAGGAATACCTCATGTTTGACTCGCTCTGCCAGTTAGGAAGGCGTGTGGGGGTGGTGTTTGCGCCACACCTGGCAATGCTCAGGGCTTCCTTCTGGCTCTGTGCTTGGGGACCCTGTGTGGTGTTGGCGATTGAAGTGTGAAGGCCTTTTCAATGTTTATGTATGTTGGCTCCTCTTCTTGGTCCTCTGAAGTAGACTATACCCATTGTTCAGAGGACAGATCTGAGGCCCGGAGGTGACAGCACAGGAGATGCCTTGTGGGGCTTTTACAATGAGTTGGGACCTGAGATGCTGCTTCTGTTCGTTTCCGTCTCTGGGGGAGGGCGTGTAGTGGACCCCGGGGTGGGGTGCTGTTGAGTGATTCTAACAGGAAGTCCAAGTTGCTGAATAGTCGCTGGG